CCCCCCCCCCCCAACCCACCACAGTGACACACCCACCACTTTGTTGTCGTACCTGTGCACTTCCCTTAGTCACTCCACCTCATTCGCTCTGCTGTACCTCTCGCACCCTCTACCCTCCTTCTCTCACTTCAGCCCTAGCCCCTCTTCCTCCGCTCGCCATCGCTCCCATGACCTCTTCCAGCTGGGGTCGCCAGTTGGCACTGCTCGCCCTACTCTATGTCATCGTGCTCACTACGATCACGGCTGCCCTTCCTTCGCAATGCATTCCAAGCGCAGGCGCCATCCGCCATACCATTGTCCAAGGCGAGGAGTATTCGCCCTGGATGATGGTTGATGTGGATGGTGACGGTGATAACGATGTTGTTGCTTCCGCAGGCGGCGAGCTGGTGTGGCTGGAAAACCGTGGTGGCGCAATTGACCTGCTCAGTCCAGTTTCCATCGTCCCGTTTGGACTCGTCACCGGGTATCGCGAAGTCTTTGACGTCGACGTCGATCGCGATGGCGTCATTGACTTTGTCTTCCGCGCATTGCCCAGCTACGCCGCCTGGGTCCGTAACACAGGCGGTGGCTCTTTCGACTCGCCGGTCGCTATCATGCTCGAGAGTACATTCAGCACCATCGCCGTCGGCAACGCAGATGGTGACGGTTGGGTTGACGTCCTCTTGTGCGAGCGTGTCTCCGTCCGCCTTGCCTTTAACAACAACGGCTCGTTCGAGACGACCGGGGAGACCCTCATCAGCTCCCTTCAGCAGATTCAGGCGGGAGCGATTGGCGACCTCGACGGCGACAGCCTCGGAGACATCATTCTTGGCTATAACACCAGGAATGACGTCCACTGGTATCGCAACATTGACGGCCGCTCGTTCGAGGGTTCTCTGCGAATCATTGCATCCATGGGCTTTGGCAGTTCCATTCCCGTACTCGCCGATCTCGACAACGATGGTGATATGGACGTTGTCGTAACTTTCCCTCACGCCAGGTCCTGTCTTGGTGGATCAACTCTGGCACCGGCTCCTTTAGCGGGGAGCAAGTGTTTGCTGCCACCTCGACCAAGGCGCAAAAGCCGCTCGTTGCCGATCTCGACAACAACGGCGCCAAAGACGTCGCCGTCGCCGATGGTAGCTACGTCTCTCTCGTCATCGCATCTGCACCCGGTGTCTTTGCCCCATCAGTCACGGCCAATGTCGATGTCGAGAACGCGTATTGCTTTGGTGACATCGACGGTGACAACGTACTCGAAATAGCTTCAAAGGTCGATAGTGCACCGCCGCCCCTGGCCTTTTGGCGCTGGGACGGCACCCCGGCCAACTGGATTCCAATTACGCAGCAGATCGTCGACACTACTAACTCCCGCTCGATGGCCATCGGGGACTTTGATCTTGATGGCGATGTCGACCTCGTGGTCATGGCTGTTGACTCTGGCACCGTCCCCTCTCCGCTGTGGTGGCTAGAGAACGATGGACGTGGCGAGTACATCTCGCGCAGCATGATTGTCGCCACGGCCGAAAAGCCGCGCTCCGTCGACGTCGCAGATGTCAACGCAGATGGCGCCGATGATCTCATTGTCTACATGGACGGCATCATTGGCGCCATGCTCAACAACGGTTCTGGTCACTTTGGCCCGCTCCTGCCTGCTGTCACCATTTCCGTCGCCAACGACCTCCAGGCCTGGGCCCGTCTTGACATGGACGGTGATGGCATGCCCGACATCGTCGTTGTACCTGACGTCCACGCCCCGTGGTTGTGGGCCCGGTGGAACGACACTGGCTATGGACCTGCGCTCGCCTTTCCACACTCGACCCTGCAGGACTCGGCCGTCCGAATGACTGCCGCCGACATGGACGGCGACGGCCGGACTGACCTCCTCTCGTGGTATGTTTTCGGCACTCAAATTGAGTGGTACTCAGTTGCAGCCAACAACGGCACCTTGAGCTCGCCGGTCGTTATCCCCATCGCTGCTGGTGTTGGTGTCCACGTCGCTGCGGCCGACTTTGATCTCGATGGGCACATCGACCTTGCTGTCGACACTGGCAGCAAGTTACTCGTCATCCTCCTCTCCACCGGGGATGGCGGCCTCTCATTCCATTTGCCCCAGGCTGTTGCCAGATGGACATCCACATCTGTCAACGATTTTGTCGCCACAGACGCTGACGGCGACGGCTTCCTCGATCTTGTCTTTTCGGCCTCCAGCAGAGCCCACATCGTGTTTGGCGCTGCCCGCGTCGATGAAATGATTCAAGCCGTCTGGTCTAACTCTGCCTGGGCCGCCATAGCAGTCGCCGATATTGACGGCAACGGCGCGCGCGACATTGTGGCCCTACAAGATCGCGTCGGTCTGGTGTGGTTTGAAAACTCCGGACCAGCCTTACGCGCCATGCCCGCAACCCGCGCCACCGACACCACCTTTATCGACTCTGGAACTACAAGCCTCGGCAAGCCAAGCGATTTTGCGCTCGCTGATGTTGATGCCGATGGCGACCTCGACTACATTGGTACCTACAGTTCTTTTGACACCATTGTCTGGTTTGAGAACGTTAACGACGCAAGCGGACTCTGGCTCATCCACAGCATGGCTGTCAACTTGGACTGCCTCTCGCTGGTTGTGCGCGACTTTGACAACGACGGCGACCTCGACGCCGTCGCTGCTGACTTGCTCGCTCCGGCACTTGTTCTGCTTCGCAACGACGATGGTGTTGGTGGCTCATGGTCTACCATCACCGTTGTGGACGGCTTCGCCTCTGCTGACCTCACGGCGATCGACGCCAATAGCAACGGTCTGCCGGACTTGCTCGCTGTTAGCTCAGTACAGGACTCGGCTCGGATCTGGTTCAACAACGGCGACGGCTCCTTCACCGCTGGCATCGAGGTCTCGGCTTCGTTCCGCTTGGCTCGCGTAGCGGTCGGTGACGTTGATGATGACGGCGTGCTCGACTTTGTCATCAGTGCAAGCACAGGCGCGTACTTTACCCTCTTCCTCAATGTCAACGCTACTTTTGCCAAGCAGACCGTGGCCATGGATCATGTCGGCAAGGAAATCAAGCTTGCTGACATGGACCTTGATGGACATGTTGACATCATTGTCCTTCGCAGTTCCGCTGCACCTAGCGTGCTTCTCTTTCCCAACATTGATGGGAGTGGTGCTCTGGGTGCTCCTCGCCCCTCTTTGATGAGCAGGCAAAGTCTATGGCGGTTGGAGATATGGATGGCGATGGAGACCCAGACTTGGTCATTCTGGTTGCCACTTCGGACGGGATCTTCTTTGTCGAAAACAAGGCGGGTGTCTTTGTTCGTCGCATGCCCATCCTTAGCCCATCGGGCGTGTCAGATGCCACTCTTCAACTCGGCGACATCGACGGAAATGGCGCTGTCGAGGTCGTCTTCAGCCACGACGTTTTCTCGAACAGCCCAGGATACTTCTATCGTTTCTCGCACCGCCTTTTTTCCCGCGATCAACCCAAGATCCTCCCACTCCATGTCGTCTCATCACCCCAGTGTCGCGACTCGCCCCACTCTCCATCCTGCCTCATCTCGGCTTTTGTCCAGCTATCACATTGCTCTCTCGATGTTCTCGAGCTTGATCCAGGCGTGTACTCGTGCATGCGCGACACGCACATCCCCATCACTCGCCCTATCCATATCCGTGCCCGCATTCCGGGCACGGTCACCTTTGACTGTGACGGCGGTGTCCTCTTCCGCGTCCGACCTCATCCATCGCCCCTAGTTGATAGTGTCGGCGAGCTGACGCTTGAAGGCATCCACATCAAGGGCACAGGCATTGCTGCCAATTCGCTGCACGGTGCCACCGGCCTCCGCGTCGAGGGCCGCGGTGCCGTCCTCACGCTTGTCAACTGCTCCATCGTGGCTGCCGCCGCCGTGCATCCTCCGCTCTCCGTCGCAATGGTCGACGTTGGGTTTGGCGGCGCCGTCGCCGTCCTCGGTGGTGCTCAGCTCTTTGCCGTTGACACTACCTTCTCCGCCTCTTCTGCCGTTTCTGCCGGTGGTGCCATTGCTGCCCGTGGGGTAGGCACGGTCGTCACACTCTCGCACTGCGTCGTCTCGGGCAACGTTGCGCCACGCGGCGGTGGCGTCGTCGTCCTTTCGGGCGCTCGCGCTGTCCTCGACAACTCGAGTGTCGTGACAGGTAACACTGCCGTTGACGCGGGGTCTGGCAACGGCGGTGGTCTGTACATCGACAGCTCGTCTGAGCTTGCAGCGATCCATGCCACCATCTCAGACAACGTCGCCGCGGGCATCGGACTCGGCGGTGGCCTCATGGTCGAGGCCGGAGGCGTTGTATCCCTCGCCAAACCACTGCTGTGCGGTAACAGCGCTGGCGTGGGTGGTGGCGCCATTGCAGTGCTGGCCAGCAACCTTGTCAGCCGGTTCGGCCTCGGCCTCGCATCTACCTCGCTACCACAGGCTGTCGGCGACGATGCGGCGCAAGTAGGGTCGTCCACGAGTCCCACGGTCTCCATCATCGACGGGCTCGTTCGTGGCAACATCGCGTCGCGCTTTGGTGGCGGGCTACTGGTGTGCGGGGTGAGAGTGGCTGTGGCTGGCGACACGGGCCTGGGGTGGTCCACCAATTATGTCCGCGAGCAGGATGATCGTGCAGCGCAGGATGTGTTCATGTGCGCCGCCGCCGGCTTTGATCCTGCCGGCTGGGCCAGCGATGTGGCCCGCGTGCCGTGGCTCTCTGTCGCCACCCCCAACGTGGTGGCCGGTCTGGTAATCGCCGCTCCGCTGGCCTCAGTCTCGGCTGTCACGCCCCTGGCCGAGCGCGTCGCGTCGGGTGGGTCACTCGGTGGGCAAGTCCGTGGACTCGACTGGCTGGGCCAAGGAGTGTTTGAGCCCAATCTTAAGGTCCGCATTGACATCACTGATCCCACTCAAAGCGTGGCTGTCTCGGGCCAGCCGAGTGCGTCGCTGTCGTCGGCCACAGCCGTGTCTGTGCCGGCTATCAAGCTCGAGCTGGTTGCCGGCGCGTCGGGCAATGGTGTCAATGTCATGTACAACGTGGCGCCGGAGGCGCGCGCGGCCGACGCGCTGGATGTGCAAGCCCATGCTGGGATTGTACGTGTGACTGGCTGTGCGCCTGGCACTGGTGGTGTGCCCGGCTCTTCCGGTGGCATTGACGTCATCGTGTGTGCAGTGTGTGCGGCGGGCACGTTCTCCGACGAGACCTCGCTCGCCGAGTGCGCGCCGGTCCCGACTTGTCCTTCCAACACGATCCGGCTCGCCGCCGACGGCTCGGCTGCCAGCAATGCGACAGACACGCCGTCTGGCGATTGCGTGTGTGAAAAGGGCTTCTGGACGCCTGGCGGCGCGGCCAACGTGGCATGTGCACCGTGCCCACGCGGCGGGCTTTGCCCAGGCGGCGCGGCGCAGCCCAAGGCTGCGCCCGGCTTCTTCCCAGACACGTTCGGATCGACGCTGTTTGTGGCGTGCCCGACAGCGAGCGCGTGTGCCGGTGGCGGCTCATGCCACCCCGGCTACCGGTCGCGGCTGTGTGCCCAGTGTGACGACGGTTACTACAAGTTTGGATCGCGGTGTCTCGAGTGTGAGACGGCCAAGAATGCCGTTGTGACGACGCTGCTCGTCCTTGGTGTGACACTGGTGTGCGGTGCACTGCTCGCGTTCAACCTCACCGAGGGGCTGCGGCACAAGTTTGCGGCGGCGATGATCGGGCTCAACGCGCTCCAGATGAGCGCCATCTACGGCAAGCTCGACCTCGACTGGGGCCCGATTGTACGGGTGTACTTTGACGTAGCGAGCGCCGTCAATCTTGACATGGAGCTGACGAGCCCAGAGTGCTCGATCGTGCGCGGCGCCGACGTGTGGGCTGTCAAGTGGATTCTGACGCTTTTGCTCCCGGTCTTTGCTGCAGCTGTCGTGGGGCTTGTTGCATGCGTATACGCTGTGCTCATTGCAGTGGGTGTCCGGTGGTTTGAGACCAAGAACATGGCCATGCTTGGCTCGGCGTTCGGGCGGACCCTGTTCCAGATTGTGGTCCTGCTCTATCTACCACTGACAAGTGCCGCGCTAGCGCCGTTTGGCTGCCGGCGCGACGAGAGCGGGCGGTGGCAGATGGCGGCGGATCCTGCGCGAAGCTGCTACAACAGTGCATGGGCAAGTGGGCTGCTTGGCCCGGGCCTTGTTGCGGCTGGTGTGTATGCTATTGGCGTGCCGGCGGCTGTGATTGTACTGCTTCGGCGCAAGCGAGCGGCGCTGGATCCGATCTCGTTCACGCTGCGGTTCGGGTTCCTTGTGGGGCGGTTTTCCGACAACGCGTGGTGGTTCGAGACGGCGATCATGGCGCGCAAGGCCGGTGTGGTCCTCTGTATGACGCTGTTTTTCACCGAAGAGGGCAAGGCCAACGCGGCTGTGTTTGTGCTTCTTGGCTCACTGCTGCAGCTCAGTATCCAGCAGCCGTACCGATCACAACTGCATAACGCACTTGCCATCGTAGTCCTGTTGACCACGCTTTCGATCCTCTATGCTGGTACCTTTGACGACTACGCGCTGCGGCGAGGGATGGCATCGGCTGCTGTCGCCATCAACGTCCTCGCCATTCTGGGAGGCAACGCTGCCGATGTGTGGCTCATGAGTCGGGCCGAGAAGGTGGTCGAGGCCGACGAGTACTATGTCGATGGTGTCTTTTCCAATGCCGCCCAAGAGAACGCCGATGCCTACGCCTCGGTGTTTGGCCAAGACACAGACCTCGAGCTGCAGCCGATGTCGCCTGCCTTTGAGGAAAAGGCATGCTTTGTCGCCCACGTACTCGACTCGGTCGTCGCCCAAGACCTCGTAAGTACCGCCTCGGCCTCCGACCTCGGCACTGCTATTCCTCCGCCACCGCCGGTCGCCACTGCCCCTATCATCGGCAACAGCACAGTTGTCGCGTCGGAAAGCAGCAGTACCTCATCATCATCGAGCACTACGTCCAGTTCTTCCTGAGGATAACACCGTGTGGTTTGCATGCTGACGTCCAGCCTGGCCAGCAACGTCAGCAACGTCAGACCTTGGACACCCGCGCCGCGTCTCGCTCACGTGAGCACTCCCAGAGTCTCCAGCTCCGACCTCCTTTCCCAAACCACCACCTCCGATTCGATCATCTGCTCTGTTCCCCCCCCCCCCCCCCTCCCCCCCTTCAGCAAACCCGCATGCGCTGCTACATCCATAGTACCCCGACGCGCACCGAACGCGCGGTCATGAATCAAAAACGTCAGCCAGGTTCCGATCGGGCAAATAGCCGGCGACAGCCGCAGGGCGGCAGGGGATACGCTTCAGTCACCTTTCTCACGCCAGCGGGCAAGCGCAGGCGGAGGGGCATGTCGTTCAACGGATCAGGTGGTGGTGGCGGTGGTGTGGACCGAGGCAGGCTGGGAGGGGGGCGTATGCTGGCAACGACGAGTGTGTGCATGGGCATCCAGTTCACCTGGGGTGTCATGTCCTCGGTGGGTACGCCCATACTCCGGGCGGCGGGTCTTCCCCTGGCCTACTGTGCCTACGTCTGGCTATGTGGTCCTCTCGCTGGGCTCATCATGCAACCACTCGTTGGTTGGGCAGCAGATACCATGGCTCCATGGCCATCGCTCGGTCGGAGATCACCCTGGCTATTGGCTGGACTGCTCGCTTCGGTCATCGCTCTCCTCGCCATCCCCAATCTCCCGCTGCTGGTCGCTGGCTCAGATGCCCGTGGCTCAGAGTTGGGCAAGCAGGCTGGCCACCGCAATGTTGCCACCGTCGCCGCCCTCACATCCATCGCCTTTTGGATCCTTAACTTTGCTGTCAATGGCATGATGGATCCCATCCGCGCACTGCTCGCTGATCTGGTGCCGGACAGCAGGCTGCAGAGGGCCAATGGCTGGTGCTCGGCAATGTGTGGCATCGGCGCTCTGGCCTCGGCAGGCGCAGGCTTGCTTCCGTGGGGGGAGATCTGGCATCCGCTCGGTGTCGGCTTTCGCGGATATGTCCTCGCCGCCGCTTTGTCCTCATTGTCACCACCATTGTCACTCTTGTCGCCGCCCGCGAGGGCCGGTTCTACGCCCGCGGCTACGGAAGCGTGGTCAAGGCGAAGCAGAGCACGGTTGGCCCGGCTCTCCTCGCCGACGGCAGCAGCCGCCGCGATGGCGGGGATGACCGCGAGGGTGACGGGTCGGACACGCCGCTGCTCGTGGCGCCGGTGAACGGCGACGTCGAGGTTGTGGTCAGCGGCGCCATCAATTCTGACGGCGTCGACAATGCCGAGCTGGGGAACCGCACGCTAGCCGCCAAGTGGGCCCACTTTGCCGCGGCGTTGCGGGCCATGTCGCCGCGGACTCGCGCGCTGTTCCGAGCCGAGGTCTTTGTCTGGTTTGCGCTCATGTCGTACTGGGTCTACGCCACGGTGTTTATGGCGGTGGTGGTGGCCGGTGGCTCGGACGACGCGCCGGCTGGCTCTCCGCAGCATGATGCGTACCACCGCGGCATCCGGTACGCGCTCATCTCGTATGCGCTGGGCGCGGCGCTGCAGGCGGTGGTGGGTGGCGTCGTGGTCCCGCTCGCGCTTGGCCGGCTCGGCATTGCGCCGCGGTTTGTGTACGCAGCCGGTGCGCTGGTCCTTGGCAGCTCGATGCTTGTACCTGCGGTGGTCATCCGAAGCTCGTCGCTGGTGGCGTCTGCGCTGGTTCTCGCGCTTGCGCCGGTTGGGCTGGGCGTCATGCTCGCAGTGCCATACGCAGTGGTGCTGGGTGAGCCCGAGGGCGCGGCGGCACCCGGTGTGTATGCTGGGCTCATCGCTGCCGTTCACGCCGTCTCTGAGCTCCCTGTGGCGCTGGTCATGACGCCGCTGCTCCAAGCGAGCGGGCACGGGTCGTCGGCGGAGATCCCGATGGTGGTCGGCGGAGCGGCAGCGTGCGTGGGGAGTGTACTCGCGCTGTGGATTCCGCCGCAAGCTGGCGGAGCGGCGTGAGGCGCAAGCTGGGCGAGTGTTCAATCACCGATGTGCTTGTTGTACAGATTAAGAAACCACTCGTAGAAGAGGTAGCCGGCGGCGCCCATGGGAGTGACGCGGGCAAGCTGCGGGGTGAGGCCGCGGTACATGCCGCGGATGCCGTCCTCTTGACGGTCTGGCGGATGACGTCGATGGCGCCCGAGTAGCGCGACTCGTACCCGGTGTTCACGCCCTGGACCATGAGGCGGGCGCGGATGAGGCCAAACGGCTGGCCGACGGCGTAGGCCGCCGACGTGGAGATCATACCGATGACAAGGAGCGCCGGCGCAGGGATGGCATCCGAGATCTCCTCGTCGGGCTCGGCGAGGCGTGGCGCGAGGTGATTGCGGTAGACTGACTTGAGCGAGTCGTAGATGGCAAGGTCGACGCCCATCGAGGGAATGATGCCCGTAACAGAAGGCACGACCCCATTGTAAAACGCGCGAAGGCCCTCGTACCGCCACATCTTGGTCACGCAGTCGATGATGCCCTTGTAGCGGGCGGCGTCCGAGGCAGCGATGCGGACCTTGACGCAGTCGAGCGGCTGGATGGTAAACTGCGAGACTGCGGCCGAGGACATGCCGGCCAGCAGTCGCTGGGTAAAGGTCACCTGCGAGGCATCGTCGGCCATAAAGGCGTTCTTGAAAAACTCAAAGCCGTAGAACTTGAGGGCCATCTTGGGCACGATCTTGAGCACGTTGGCCCCGTTGCCGCGAAAGTAGCCGCGCATGCCCTCCCGCTCACCGATGGCCTTCAGGTCACGCCACATGGATCGCTTCATAGAGTGATCAGCCTGGACCTCGTACAGGATCTTAAGCCGATCCAGCGGAGCAGTGAGCGTCCGCGACAGAGCGCCCGAGAGGCCGCCCGCCACCAGATGGCCCATAGAGACGGACTTCTTCTCCTTGACAGCCACCTCTGCCTCCTCACCTGCGCCATCAGCCTTGCCATGGCCATGGCCATGAGCATGAGCATGAGCATGTGTGGGATCACCACCCGGTTCAGCCACATCAGACAGTAGCATGGAGGACGTAGGACGAAGGGAGAGCAGGGAGATGGACGTGGGTGCGTGGGTGATGGGCGTGGGTGAGGGTTGATGGATGGAGATGGGGGGGGGGGGGAGGGGGGCGAGATCAGAGAGGGTGCGCGCGTCGACGGACCGGCACCGCCCGATGCGTCCAATGTCGCGCTCTGGTCCCTACATGCGGCGGAGAGGCGGCGATTTGGCCTTGTGTGACGCGTTACGATGCTCAATGGTTGACAAGGAGATTGAAAAGAGGTAGATGAAGGAAGAGCGGTTTCAGGATGGCGACATGGATGGCGGTGTGAGGAGTGATGGTTATGCCCCTCTCGATCGGGTAATCCCCCTGCCCCCACGCGACCGACGACAGGCAGAGCCAGAGACGACAACAGGCAGGGCACGGGGAGGGGGGGGGGGGGGGGGGGGGCACACTCAACACATACCGCCATCACACACCCACACCCACACCCACACCCACACCCACACCCACACTCGTCACCTCACCACCATACGTGTATGTCATCCTCCGCCAATGGTGCAGGCGGACGGGTGAGCCATGCCCAGCTGGTGGCGGCCGTGGACGCAGGCGACATGGCCACACTCCGCTCGCTCCTTGCTGCTGTTGTCCGCTCGCCTGGCCAGGTCATTCTCGCTCATGATCATGGCCATGGTCGAGGTGGTGTGAGGACGAGATCGTCCGGATATACCTTTCTGGGCCTTGATTCGGATGATGATGAGCTGGCGGTGGGTGGGTCCCATCAGCCCGGTGCCGGCCATGATGTCGACGATGACAGTGCGGCTGGCTTGCTCCATCCGCCGCCGCCGGAGCAGCATCGTCGTGAGACTGCTGCTCGCACGTGGGCGCCGACGGTGAGAGATGTGCTCGACGCGCCGCTGGAGGGTGGGCCGTGGCGATACGATCTCGGCATGCTGACCGAAGGCACGTTGGTGCATCTGGCGGTGCTGCGCCGGGCGCACGAGGTCATGGAGGCGCTGTTGGCTGCCGGGGCGTCGCCAGATGGTGGCGGTGTGGTCGGTCGGTGGAGCCAGGGCGTGCTTCGCCCGGGCCGCGCGCTTCGCGATCGGCTGGTCAACGAGCAGAGCTTTAGTGGGACGCCGGCCGAGCTGGCGCGAAACCTCGGCGACACTGCAGCTGCCGACACGTTGCGTGAGGCCGCGCTGGATGCGGCTGCCCGTGCCCGGGTTGGAATGGGTGGCGCTGGCGCTGCCGCACGGGTTGTCGAGCTCGAGTCGACGGTCGCCGCTCTGCGCGCGTCGCAGGCCGCCGCCGCAGACTCGTACAAGGAGACGCTCAGAGCTTGGATCGCAAAGGTCAAGGAGCTTGAGGACGCGCTCGAGGCCGAAAAGAGTGCCCGCGCCGAGGTCGAGGCCCAGTATGCAGCGCAGATGGACGAGGTCCGAGCACGCATGGTCGCCGCCAAGGCCAAGCTCGCCGACCGCTACAAGGCCAAGGTTGCTGAGCTCGAGCTCAAGCTCGAGGCCCATAAGGCCGCCGTCGACGCCACCATCGACGACCGCGTCGTCGACGCCCGCGACAAGTACCACGACGACAATGTTGCGCTCCGTGCCGCTGTCGAAGACGCTGCCATCAAGGCCAGCGATGACGCCGCAACCATCGCCCGTCTCGAGGCCGCGCTCGAACGCGTCGGCGCGCTCGCAGGCATGGACGAAATCGAGGGCATCCCTGTCCGCACCTCGCCCTCGGCCGGCCTTCCACTCCTCCCAGCCTATCCGCACGAAGAGTCAACGCTCGAAGCCATCCGCGGCATCCGCCACGCTGCCGCCGTCGCTCTCGAGCAGGGTGCGCTCTCGGCCGAGTATCTGCAGCGGCCGGCCGAAGCCCGCGCGCTCCGCCTCCGCATCGAGCCGCTTGTCCCGCTCCTCGAGGCCATGCTCCCGTTTCCGGTCCGACCCATTACCGTCCAGAAAATCCATCGGACTGTCGCCGAGGTAGCAGACCTGCTGCAGCGCGCCCAGGCTAAGGCCCGCAAGGTCAAGGACGAGCACTTTGCCGTCGCAAACTCGATGGTCGACGCCACCCTCGCCGCCGTTCTCGACGACCTTGCCTCGCTCCTCTCGTCTGCTGTTGTCGCCGGTGCCCAGGCCCGCCCTAACCCGCGCGCTGTCGCGGTTGCCACCGCTCTCGCTGCCAGTCCGCCGGCCGAACCAGACCGAGCACCCGAACAGCCCGACGAGTCTGTCCAAGCTCCCGAGCCGAAGCGCAAGCGCCGGTCCGGACGCCGCCGTGGCGGCCTCATGGCCAAGCCGCCGTCAGAATGAACAACTGCTCTTGCATCAAGCGCTACCCGCCGAGCTTGTAGCGCGAGCCCGAGTGCGTGATTCGCCCTGCCTTGGTCGCAGCCGCCAACGCCCGCTTGAGCTCCGCCCGCGTGGGCGGCGCATCGTAGTTGGCCGCAATGTACTTGGCGATCGCCGTTGCAGTCGAACCTTTGCGGTCATCCAGCGCAGCAATGGCGCGCGAGATCATCACGCTCACTACAGCCTTGTGCCGCGGCGCACCTCGGCGCTTGTCGCCCGACTCGTCGTCCGAGGCCGAAGCCGGGGGATCGGCGTCGGGGAACGGAGTCTCGACCAGCTCAGCACCGCGGATCCACGGATGTGTCAGCGCTTGCGGCGCCGACCAGCGAATGGCTGGATCGTGCTGCATGAGCCGCCGGCAGAGGTCCTTGGCGCCCTCGCTCACCCGCCCCACGCCGTGTCCGGGAACGAGTACAGGCCACGCTGGATCTGCTCCGGGATCGTCAGCGGCGCGTTGTCGACAAACGGGTAGTCGCCGGAGAGCATGACATACAGCAGGACGCCGAGCGACCACATGTCGACCTTGGCGTCGTACGCCGTTCGCGCCACAATCTCTGGTGCAATGTACTGCGGCGTCCCGCACATGGTGCCCATCGTCGTCCCGTTCTCCACCGAGAGCATCCGCGAGATGCCAAAGTCTGAGACCTTAGTCTCCACACCCTTGCGCGACGCCAACAAGATGTTCTCCGGCTTGATGTCGCGATGGACCACACCCTCATCGTGCATGTACGCCACTGCCTCCAGCACTTGCCGCAGCACCCGCCGCGCGGTGGCCTCGGACAGCTTGCCGGCGTCGACAATGCGGTCAAACAGATCGCCGCCGCTCACCAGCTCGAGCACCAGATACAGGTGGTCCTCGGTCTCATACGAGTCGTACAGCTGCAGAATATGCGGGTGCTGAAGTGCCCTCAGGATCGAGACTTCGTCGAGGAGCGCGCCGACCCGGTGCTGGACCCTCGCAAACTTGGCCTTGTCACACACCTTGATCGCCACCTTGCGCCCAGTCTTGCGACAAACGCCCAGCCGAACAGTGGCGAAGTTGCCCGTTCCCAGCACCTTGCCCATGTCGTAGTCAGCAGTCACAAACCCGTGCTCGCTGTCGTCATCGCCGTCGTCGCTCTCGACCAGCTCCACCACATACTCGACCGGGCCATCCTCCCACGCCGTGCCCGTCACCTTGATCCGATCGCCGTCGTCCACCAGAGCCGTCATCTCCTCCCCAACCTCCTTTCCACGGACCTTGACCCCTTTGCTCGCCGCCTTGACAAAGACCACGCCCTCATCATCACGAAAGATCCGCAGCGCCCCGCCTGCCACCTCGACGCCGTCGCCAGCCACTGCCACGGCCTCTGCCTCTCCCTTGACCACCTCCAATCGAGCCCATGGCCTATGTTCAGTCATGGCCCTTATGCTGCTCTGTGCGACAGTGAGGTGTAGCCGTACACTACGTGGCACGTGGCCGTGGTGCTGTCAACTCGAGTCCGGCTGGTCTTCCGCCTCTCCTCGGCTTGGCCTGCCACCTGACGCTGTCTGCCCGAGTCGCCCACCCACCATGGCCACCACCCCCGCAGCAGCAGCAGCCAAAGTCACACCAGCAGAGACCACGGCCACACCAGGTGCAGATCCCGTAGAGCCATCCACACTCACACCCGCACTTCCAGAACATGCTGAGGAAGACGGTGGGGAAGTCGGGGTCGTCCAGCCGGCTCCATACGCTCCGTCCGAGGCCACCGCCACGGGCGTGACCAAGGGTACGACCAAGGGAGGGGAAGGGGGGAGAGAGGGGAGGGGAGGAGGGGCGTAACACCTTGACTCACACAGCGAACGTGTGTACGCGCGCTCATGCGTGTGCATGCGTGGGTGTGGGTGGGTGGGTGTGCAGTGGACATGGTGAGCCTGCTCGAGGAGAGCTGCGTCGACTACGGGCACATCATGGACATGGATCCGACCGAACAAGCAGCGGCAGTGGAAGGCGCCATCGAGACTATGCTGGCAAGGCTGGATGAGCTTGGGCTGATGGTTGAGTCGCTGACGGCAGACACCAACCAGACCAAGGACATTGTTCCCGCACTGAAAGTCCATCTCCAGGGTCTGGAGCAGACATATGCTCAGCTAGATGCCCTCGTCGCCCTAGTGGCTCGCATCGAGGCCTCAGTCGACGCCGTCGATGCCGCTGTCACAGCCTCGGAGCAGCGCGTTGCCTCCAAGCTCACCCGCAAGCTCACCTCGTTCTTCTCCCGCAAGAAGAAGGCCGCCGCAGCCGCCGCAGACGATGATCCCTCGGCCTGCCTCGTCCCGCCGCAGGCGATCTTTTCCGCAGACGACGTCTTTGCCGCCCCCTCTACCGGCGCGCCCGCCGCTGCTCCCGCTCCGCTCGCCGCCGACGCATGATCGCCCGCCGCCCCGCCCCGCCCCGGACGCTGCCGGGCCTTTTGCCGTTTTCCGGAAAAGGCCGTGCCGAGGCATGCTGCTCTCTTGTGAACACTCTCCGCCCCCGATCTCGCCATGCCCCACCCCCACACAGCCACAAAGTCGTCAGCCACGAGTCGCACCTCGCCCACGCCGTCGTCATCGTCGCCGTCTTTCTCTTTCTCGTCTTTCTCCTCCTTTGCAGGCCGTCCCTGGTCGTCTGCCTCTGCCCACCGCCGCGATCATGATCGCGATCACCCGCGTCTTGCCCCGCCCTCCGCCGCACACGCCCGGCGTGCTGCCACATCAAGCAAGTTGCCGCTACCGCGAGGCCGCGCGCATGGTGCTCCACTTGGTGATGTGACCAACACCCGCGCTCGCCCGCCTGTTCCGTGCCCACGCCCGCCCCGCGCCTCGCAGACCGGCAAGCTCGGTGTCCGGCGGCTCCGCAAAAGGCCGTCAATTTCGCTCTCGGCCTCATCAGGCGGCTCGGCGTCGTCGCGGCGGCGAAGCGAGAAGCTCGGGCGGCCACCCAAGCCGGCAGCCGGCTCGTCGACGATGACCGCGACGGCATCGTCGGCGTCGGCTTCGCGCTCGGCAACAGGTTCGATCGAGCCCGTGCCAAGCCGCCCGTCGCCGCGCTCGCTCTCGCGGCGGCGGAAGGTGGCGCGCCGAAAGGCAGAGCGCGCCGCCGAGCGCCAGCGCATCCGCGACCAGATGCAGCACATTGCACGCCCGCCCGCAGACCTGTGGCGCCATGTCCGTCGTGGCCGTCCGCGCAAGCGCAAGCAGCTCCGCAAGCGCAAGCTCGCCATGGCTGCTGCCAGCTCGTCGAGCTCGAGCGCGTCGCCGGCGCCCAGCCCCGCGCCCAGCGCAGGCGCGAGCCCGGTCATGCCTGCCTTTGTCTTTTCAAGCTCAACTTCGCCGAGCTCGGTCTCGATCTGCAACGAGTCGGTGGCTGCAAGTTCGTCGTCGCCCGAGTTGATCGAGATGGCGGCCACTGCCTCCCGCCGCCGGGGGAGGATTCTCGAACGACGTGTGCGTCAGCGGCCGACGAGCGTCGTGACTCCGCCTGCTCTCGCAGCCCCGCCGCAGGGCGTGCTAGCGCTGGACTGGCAGCCGCCTGCAAATCGCGCTCGGTCGCGAACGGCATCGGTCTCACGGGCGCCATCGATGCAGCCGGTTGGCGCTCCCGGTGACGAGTGGGAGGCGCAAGCTGCTGAGCTGCGGGCGTACTTTGATCGAGTCGACGCTTGGATCCTGCCCGAGGACGCAAGCGGAGCAACGAGACCGCATCCGAGGCCGTCGGAGGCGTGGCGGCGGGCGGTGCGGCGGAGCGGGTGGGCACACCGGGGATGAGCGGGCAAGTGTGTGTGTGTGTGTGTGTGTGTGAGTGTGTGTGTGTGTGTGTGTGTGTGTGTGTGTGTTACGTTGCAACAATCAAAGAGCCGACATACCGCCAATGATCTCGCACAGCTCGGTTGTGATGACAGCCTGGCGAGTACGGTTGTACTGGAGCTCGAGGCGCTCGATCATGTCCTTGGCGTTGGTGGAGGCCGAGTCCATGGCGGACATGCGCTGGGCAAACTCGACGGCGGCAGCCTCGCGGGCACCCGAGAAGATGGCGTTGGCGAGGTGGAAGGAGGCGTAGTTCTCCATGAGGTGGCGGTCGCCGCGCATGTTGTAGTGGCCGAGGGCCGCAGACGTCTGCTCGGCCATCTTCTCCGGCCCAAGGACCGACTTGCGGACGGTGTTGTACGTGATGACGTTGACAAACTCGTTGTGGACAATGGTGGCAATGTCAAACTCGACCTCGTTGAGCAGGATGTCGGCAATGTACGCCGCCTGCGCAAACGAAAAGGCCGACTTGCCAAACTCGGAGAAGCCGTGCTCAACCTCGACGCCCTTGGCGGTGAGGGTGGCACGGGCCTTGTCGCCGACGTTGGCGATGACCGTCTGCACGCCGGCAGCCTTGTCCTCCTCCATGATGGCAATGGCCTCACGGGCAATGACCGAGTTGGCCGCACCGCACAGACCCTTGTCCGACGAGATGGCCACCACCAGGCGGGTCTCGGGCTTCTCCTCGGGCTCACCCACCAGCTCGGGAAGGGCAGCCGAGGCCTTGCCGTACGCCATAGCCGGCTTCATGGCGTCCTCAGCACGGCGGAGCTTGGCCGCAGACACCATCTTCATCGACGAGGTAATCTTGGCCATGTTGGAGACAGACTCAATCCGGCGCTTCATCTCCTGCAGCGTAGCCATACCACGGGCGTTCTGCGGGACGGCAGCCGCAGCCCTGTAGAGCCAAAAACACGTCCAATACCACATGGTCAAGCCATAGCACCCGGTGAGTCTCCACAACAAACACAAGTACACCAGTGGTGGCAGTAGCAGTGGGGGTGGCAATGGCCATGGTGGTCGCGGTGGTGGGTGGCGGCGGGGCTCAATGCCGGGGGGGGGGGCCGTCAGTCCAGGGATGACTGCACCGAATGGGCGGTGACGACCGACGGGAGAAGGACGGGCGGTGGGTGGCGGGGAGGGGGGGGGGGGGGCGGTGGGGGAGAACACCGCTAGGAGGAGGGAGATTATTGTGGTGGGTGCGCTACTGGGTAGGGGCATGTGTGCGGGTGTTGGGCAGGGGGGAGGGGGGGAGGGGGCGTGCGGGAAGGGCTCGTCCGTGTGGTATGGAGGTGGGAAGACCATGCGGCTGAGGATGGAGCGTTGGTGGTCCCCGAGGCATATTTTTTGCCCACAGCCAGCAGCCAATGCGCTGACTAGGGGGATGGCCATGGTGGTAGTGTTGAAGGGACCAAAGCATGCTGTGGTGGTAGTGGGCATGCCGGTACGTACGAAGGGATGATCGCGCGCGCAGCACGGGTGAACATCTTTGTGCGGTGGCACTGAGTGGGGTGAAGGTCGCCCACAGCACGTCGAGCCCCTCGTCGATGGCTGGGGTGAGTGGGTGGGCGGGGCGGGCCGCTCGCCGGCCGGCCGGGGCAGGCGGCTGGTCGGCTGGTCGGCCGGTCGGCTGGCAGCTCGTCGTCGCAGCCTCGTCGAAGGGGGGGGGAGGGGGGCAATGGGGGGTGTGACTTTCATCGGATGGGGGGGTTGGCTTGGCTTGGCTTAGCTCTACAGATAGCTAAAAGTTGATGGGCTTGAAGACGTTAAAGCCCTCGGCACCAGTGGCCATGAGCATGCCCGGGATCTGCGGGTGCCAGTGGATCTCCTTGACCTCGGTGAGGCCCTGGTGGACAAAGAGAAGCTGCGGCGGGTAGTCTGCAACAAACTCTGCGTCGTTGCGGAGCTCCTCGTCGTCGGCCTCGACGCCGAGGTCCCAGAGAGTGATCTGGTTGTCGTCGGACGAGACGGCGAGCGAGGAGGCCTCAGTCGGGTGCCAGTCGACCGAGGTGATGGGCGCCGAGTGGTACGAGAAGCGCTGCTCGTAACCCTCGTCGGCGTCCTGGAAGAAGCGCAGGTCCCAGATGGCAAAAGTGCCGTCGTCACCGCCCGAGACAAGAAGGAACTCGACGAGCGGGTTCCATGAGATGACGTTGACGTCCGATGAGTGGGCTGGGCGCGAGAGGGCCGGCCCGCCCTTCTTGCGCACGTCCCAGATGGCAACCGAGCCGTCGACCGAGGCCGAAGCAAAGACCGAGGCCTGGTTCGGCGACCACTGCAGGTCCTCGACCGAGTCGGTGTGGCCGACGTACGGCGCAATGTCGACGGCCCACCCGGACTCGCGCGGCTCCCATAGGTGGATGTTGCGGGCGCAGTCGCCCGAGAGGAGGCGGCCCTGGGTGACAGGCGACCAGTCAAGCGCAAAGCCCTCCATGGTGTGGCCGGTAAAGACGTGCATCGGCTCGGGCTCGCGGGCGAGCGGAAGCGGCGGCGGCACGTCGAGCGCCGAGAGGTAGTGCTGCAGATCGTAGATGGCGACGGTGCCGAGGTCGGACCACGCGGCGATGGTGGTCGGCGTCTGCGGCATGGAGCGGACCCGATTGGCGCAGCCGGAGAACGGGATCGAGCGGTACTCGACCACAGGCTCCATGTCAAACTCGTCATCGTCAGACTCGTCGTCCGACTCGTCGTCGGACGCCTCGGGCTTCTCGCCGTGCCCGTTGCGCGCCAGCGATGAGAGCTTCATCACCACCAGCGCGTTGGCCGATGCGTCTTCGGCCTGCGTTCCGGCCACGGCGTAGACGGTGTGCGGGAAGCGCGAGCGGCGGTAGCCGAGCGAGTCGCGGACAATGTCGAACGAGAGCGCTGGCCACTCCATGTCCATGGTGTGGAACAGGTTGTACACCGACGGATCGTAGTCGAGCTGCTCGCCCTCGGCAAGGCCATCCTCGGGCCGCCAGACCTGCGGGGTGGAGCCCGACGACGACGCGCCCTGGCCACTCATGTTGGAGATGTCGATCATGCCGCCGACCTGGGCCAGATCGAGCGAGGGCCCCTGGCCATCGTCGTCCGAGTCGACGCCGATGCCCACCACAAGCTCCTCCTCAAACTCATCTTCAGCCAGATCCTCAAACTGCAGGCCGTCCGTCGTCCTGCTCTGCACCACGGACTCGTCGATGTACTCGCCCGGGTGCGCCCCATCCAGCAACTCCCTCCGCTTCCCGGCCTGCTCTCCACCCCTTCTGTCACAGGCATCTCCTTCCTCAGCGGTGACGCACCCATAGACGACGATGCCTCTCCGCCAATATACCCCACATCACCTCCTGGTCCATCATCCCCAGAATCATTCTCATCCCGTTCCCGCTTCCTCTGCGGCGAGCTTCCACTCATATGCCTGCTGTTGGTCACGATCCAATCCAATCCAATGAGTGGGGGGGGGGGGGGGGAAGGGGACATTGCTGGTTGTGGCGGATCGGAGGAAAGAGTCGAATATCGGTTGATGGGAAAGTCAGGGACGGAGGAGGGAGGAGGGGAGGAGGGGAGGAATGGGGGGCAGCTTCTTCTTGACCGCGGGCAGCAAGTACGTGGGCAGCAGCGGGTACAAGCACAAGCCCAGCGCGGCGGGCCGTGGCTCGCTTAGAGGAAAAGTCGGGCTGGAGATCGGCGCCGCGGACGACAGAGTAGGAGTCAAGGTCAATGGATGGATCGCCACCGAGGGTAGCGTCGCGGAGGATGTCATCGTCGATGGCAAAGTTGCCCGAGTACTCGATCGGTTGGGCGAGGATGATGGCGGCAGCGTCTGCGACAATGTCGGGCTTGCGCGAACGGTTCATCAGCTCGTCGCCGCCAATGACGTTCTTGATGGCAGCGGTGGCGATGGTGGTGCGTGGCCAGAGGGCGTTGAACGCCACCTTGCCCGAAAACTCGGCAGCCATACCGAGAACCGCGAGCGACATGCCGTACTTGGCCGCCGTGTACGCCGTGTGGTCGGCGAACCACTTGGGATCGAGGTTGAGCGGCGGCGAGATGTTGAGCACATGCGGCGCAGGGCCGGTAGTCGACTTGAGTAGGTGCGGCAGTGCCGCCTGAGTGGTCACAAACGTGCCACGCGCGTTGATGGCGTGCATGAGATCGTAGGTCTTCACCGGCGTCTCGAGCGTGCCCGTCAGCGAGATAGCCGACGCGTTGTTGACCAGCACGTCCACGCCACCAAACACTTTGGCCGCATGATCCATCGCCTCTTTCACCGCCTCGGCATCGCGAATGTCCACCTGCATCGGCATGGCCCGCCCGCCTGCCTCTTCAATCGCCGACGCCGCCGTGTAGATCGTCCCATCGAGCTTGGGATGTGGGTTGACCGTCTTTGCCGCCACCACCACATTGGCTGTCCACCCCCGACATACACACCCCATAGCCGCACAACCGCATAGTCACGCTCCAATCGATGAGTCTGGCCCCCGTGATCGCCCTCGTCTACACATGATCTTTGGCCGTCTCATCCGATCGAGGAACGCACGCACCACAGACACGCACACACACACATCGCGTGGCAGTTCATTACCACCGCCATGCGCAGTCAATCTTTGCCACACACTCGCCCATTCGCATCATCAAAGCCTCTACAACCTCCCTTTCCCTCCCCGTCCTCCTGCTGGTCATCATCCGCCAACTGGCCATCATCAGCCAGGTCCCGTACCGCCGTCCTTGGCCGCCCGGAGGGCAATGGCCAGACCAATCCCCCGCGAGGCGCCGGTGATGAACAGAGTCCGTCCCGAGAACACCATACTGTTTCAGAGTGTAGTGGTTATCGCCCTGGTCACCATTCACTACTCGTGCTCTGCTCGCAATCGCTTCGCTCTGTGGTGGCGCTGTCTGTTCGCTGACTGTTCGCTGTCTTTGTTCGGCCGCCTGTGGAACACGGCCTCGTCACTGCTGGCGGCCATCCTTGCGTGTGCTGCCTCATCGGCTGCTCTCTTCGGCTACAGCATCCATGCCAATCACATCCATGCCTGTCACGCCCATCGGCACTGCTCATAGAAGTCATCATCGTCCGGATCGGGGGTGGAGCGAGGGACGGGAGGGGCGGGGCGGACGGGCCTACAGCTTGGATGACGGACCAAGGAACCGAGCGGCGTACTTGATGCCAACACGGAGACAGTCATCGTCTTTGAGACACAGAACTTGCTGGCGGTCCTCCATCGCAATGGCGGCCGCGAGCGAGGCGCCGCCAAAGCGTTGGCGTTGATTGCGTCTTTGGTCATGACCAGCGCGCGTGGCGCCACCGCATTCAGCATCTGCACCGCCAACGACTGAGCCTCGGCAAGCGCTGCCTCGCGATCGGCTAACACCTTGGTGACCAGGCCACGGGCGGCGGCTTCGTCGGCGTGCATGAACCGGCCGGTCAGCATCATCTCGCTGGCTGTTGCCGGGCCGACAAGCTTGGGCAAGAAGAACGAGCAGCCCATCTCGGCGCCCGAGAGACCCAGCAAGACAAAGGCGCAGTTCATCTTGAGGTCCTTGGCCGCCACCCGCACATCGCACGCCAGAGCGAGCGAGAGCCCGGCTCCGGCGGCGCCGCCATGGATCGCCGCGATGAAGATCTGGGGCGCGGCGCGGATCTTGAGAATGAGCCGCGACATGGTCCTCTGGTCCTCCAGCTGGTAGTCGGCAACCTTGCTCATCAGCGACTTGAGATTTGCTCCGGCGCAAAAGCCCTTGCCCGCCCCGCTGAGGATGACCACCCGCGCCGTCTCCCGGCTCGGGCCCGCCAGCTCATCAAGCACTGCATGCAGCTCGGCCACCAGCTCGAACGAGAGCCCGTTGCGGACCTCGGGCCGATTGAGCGTCACCCACACTAGCCCTGCATGCGCCTCGTCCGTCTCGGCCACAATGTGCTCAAGCCGCGTTGCGAGGAGGGCCTTCCGTCCGCTGGCCATCGCCTGCCGAGTCGTCGTCAGGTGTTGCCGAGTGTCACCACACCCGGCGAGACGTGGAGCAGCCGCATCATACCGCGATGGCCAAGGCCCGGCCGCCGAAACACAAAGGTGTCCAGCCCGGTGCAATCAAGTCGTTTACATCGTGGCCAGAGACACATCGTCACGGCGCTGCAGCCAGTGCGGCCACCGCACCCGCGTGTTCGGCCTCGTTGGCAAGCTCGATGGCACGCTCGCGGACGCCATCCGGGAGCGGCGCAGGTTCGTGGGCAAGGAGAATGGGGACGAGATCGGGATACCGCGACGCCGCGCTGAGAACGGCGCTGTAGTCGCGTGCCGAGACTTGAAAGCCACCAATGTCGAGGAGCCACTCGACAGTCTCGCGGTGGCCGTTGCTTACCGCCCAGCGGAGCGCTATCGAGTCGCGATGGCCGGGATCGACGACCACGCCAGGTGAGGCGTGGAGCAGGCGGAGCATGGCGAGATGGCCAAGGCCGGCGGCGGCGGCAAAGGCAAAGTTACTCGCCTTGGCCGGCGGCTTGTCCGGCAGGTCAAGCAGGAGCCGGACAACGTCGAGATGCCCAAACTGCGCCGCCCGCTGGAAGCCCTCAAAGTTGTCGTTGGTGTGATCGATATCGTCGCGGGCAAGGAGAAGCTCCACAACATCGTAGTGTCCCTTGCGACAGGCCTGCAGAAACGCCCCGTTGTTGCGAGCGCTGTGCGAGACCTCAAATCTGTCGAGAAGGACGGCAACGGCAGCTGCGTGCCCGCGGCTTGCTGCCGTAACAAGCGCTACGTTGTTGCCGACTGAGGCGTCGACCTCGATATCGGTCCGGCCAAAGACATGCCGCAGGCCGCGGGCCGCGCCGATAGTCGCCAAGCGGAGCACCAGCGGTGAATTGACTGTCCCAATCCACGTCACTTCCGGCTTACAGAGAGCCACGCTCGGCATGCGAGTGATGATCTCATCGAGAACCCCGATCCAGCCGTCCGAGTCGACGGCGCCCGTGAGCACCATGTCTTCAGCACAGAGCGCAGAGAGCAGCTCGAATCCATCATCCGTGTCCTTGCTCTTGCTGCTGCTCGTCGTTGCGCCGTGGGCGATGGCCCATCGTGCAGCGTCAAAAAGCCCGCGCTGGATGCACGCGAGCGGTCCGAGAAGAGCCTGGCTCCTCACCCGCGGGTAGCCGCGGCTCAGCAGCGCCGCATGGAACCGCTTCGAGGCGCAAGCCCAGGCCACAACATCGGCAGGCGCAAGGATTGCAAACTCAAATGCAATGAGGTGGAGGAGCTCAAGGGGCAAGCTGGCGAGAGACGGTCGTGTGAGAATGGGCGTCGCTTGCATCGACTTGGTGCTGCGCCGCTCAGTGGAGTGTGTTGTCACGCCACCAAGCCACGCCACCGAACCACGCTCGGCGCTTGACGCTCGACTCACGGCAAACAGATGTTCAATGTGGCCAGCTCGGATTGTGAGTATGATTCAATCGATGCCGTTGCGAACTATGTCTTGGATGATGACAACAGTCGTGACGATGCCAAAAACATGCCAGTGCCCACGAGAGTGATGATGGCCAACATGTCGCGGCGGACGAGAGATCGCTCGGTGAGCTTGACAAAGAAGAGGCCTGGGAGGACAAAGCAGATGGCGACGGCAGCAGTGGCACCGGTGAGCGAAAAGACCACCGTGATCGACGGAACAGCGATGGCGAGCGCGAGAGTAGCGGCAACGAGGACGACCGACTCGAGGTACCAGCGCGAGCTCGGCGCCTTGACGCCCATAAACGACGGGACGAGGAGGACGTCGAGAGTCGAGATGCACGGGTACGAGAGCAGCGGGTACGAACAGGTGATGGCAACCACGAGCGCGCCGCGCACAATGTTGGCAAACGCATCGCCGGCGTCGGCGTAGTTGGTCAGCACGTTGCCCTTTGTCTCACCGAGGAACGTGAAATAGCCAAAGATGCCGATGGCGAGGTAGAGGCCGGCCGACGCGCCGACCGAACCGTGGATGATCCGCCCCATTCGCTTGCTTGTCCGCCCGCGGAGCTGGTAGTAGAGGAGCAGCACGTTGGGGTGCGAAGTAAAGGTGAAGCACACGATAGGAAGGGCGACAAAAATGCGCGAGCCGAACCGCCCGAGCTTTGCCTGGCCGCTGGTGTCGGTGATGCGCGAGCGGGTAGCATACGCCACCGGCGGCGGCGGCGTGGGCGCCGGCGCCGGCCCGACAGCGTTGAGCGTGAACGAGCGGGTGATAACAAAGATGACCAGGAGCGCGACCGAGACCAGTGAGAGGACCGACGAGTACTTGAGTGTGTCGATGCGTCGAATGAGGACTAGCGGCAGGATGACAACCACGGTGTGAGCCATGACCACAAACCACGACTGGAGGTACACGGCCGACGGATCGGCCGGGGCATCGGCAAGCGCCCGGACAATCGGCGTCAGCGAGTCGGCAATAATCACCAGATACGCCACCAGTGACCCGAGGAGGAGAACAAGGAGGGTGCACTGGACGCCGACCCGCCCGCGGGTGCCCACGCGGCGTGGCCCATGTGCTCAAACGAGATGTAGCCAAACGTCGCTGCTGTCCGCACCAGCAGGCGCAGAGAGTAGTCAGCAAGGAGCGCAATGATGAGGACCATGACAGAGCCCAGAAGAATGCCCATCGAGGCAAAGGCGTAGGGCAGGGCGACGACGCCCGCGCCCACCACGGTGTTGGTCAGGTTGATGCCTGTTGACAACGGCGAAGCCGACTCGGAGTCCAGCTCGGTCGGCTTGAGCACAGTAGTCTCGGTCATGACCTCGAGCGCGTTGATCATGTCGTCACCTCGGCCAAGACTGCCCGTCGCCAACAGCGGCGTACTCGGCGAGCCACGGAGGCCACCAGCAAAGGCCGATGGCGGCGACGGAGAGCTCCCATATGACTTTGCCCTTGGCCAGCTTCCTCCAGCACCACCTCTACTGCCATGGCCACCCAGAGATTCTTCGCCAGTCCCATCACTGATCGCAATGCCTGCCATGGCTTCGGTCATGGCCATGCCTGCGGGAGCGTTGTCCTTGCCCACGTCCTCGGTCACCGGCGGCCGACTTGGCCAAGTGGCAGGTGTGAGCGGAGGGAGCGAAGGCGAGGCAGCGCCCGAGTTATCGTCTGACGAGCTCCAGAGCAGGCCACGCCCGCATACATGTTCCTCACCACCTCTGCTACTACTCTCTCCTCGTCCGCACTCGGATGAGGAAGACAACGTGGTGGTGCTCAGAAGCCCCGAGAGGTTGACATCCGCCGCCCCTCCCGTCGCGCGTGACATTCGCCGACGACGACGAGTGGTGCCCGCTTCGCTTCATCATCATCGCTCGCCCGTCCATCCGTCTCATCATATTCGCTCGCCGTCATCGCTCGCCACTTCTTGCTCACCACGAGCCCACACATGCCAGCCTAATCAGATCAGAACACGCCCCGGCCAGGTGTGGCTTGAGCACAGAGTCAGCGCTTGCCCATCGTGAGCCTACACCTGCCAGCCTCATCGGATCAGGACTCAGGAGGCTCACTGTGGCCCGCGTCGCGTCGTGGGTGAAGAGACGGTGCTCTGGCTCCAACGTAGTTTAGGATATCATCGCACGCAAGAGGGCGTGAGATCAAAGGGGGGAGCGGTCTCGGGGAGGGGGTGGGGTGGTCAACACCCAGATCAGCAGATCGCCTCACGGGAAAGGAGAGCCAAGACAACGAAGAACTTGGGGACGAGTCACGACGCATCGGGGTGGATGCGCCCCTTATGGCGGCGAAGAGATGAGGCGCGAGTGAAGGCCTGCGAGCAGATGGTACACTGGAAGACCGGCTTGGGCCCGTCCTGGTGGCGGCGGATGACGTGCCGGCGGAGAGCATCGCCTCGAGAGAACGACTGGCCGCACCGCGCGCACACATGGGAGCGCGCTTGGCCGTGAACTGATGCCATGTGACGCATGAGGTTGGATCGCCGCGAGAAGAACTCGCCGCAGCCCGGCACATCGCACGCGTGCGTCTTGCCCGGGGCGTAGGCCGGCGTCCGCCAGAGTGGAGGAGCGCGGCGGTCACAGCCAGAGCATGGGCAGCGAGGCCCGATTGCGACGGATGCTGAGAAGTCAGCATCTGCGTCGGCGGCGCCGAATGCGAGTGCGAGTGCGAGTGCGAGTGCGAGTGCGAGTGCGAGTGCGCGCCCAGGTTGGGCGACGCGCGGTGCTGCGACGACGGAGTCGGCGGCAGTGAGGAATGGTACGACGGAAAGACGCCCGACGATGAAAGCGGCAGCCCAGTGAGCGGACCAATGCCCGGGTACGCTCCAAAATGCATGGGTGCGTGGCTGGGAAAGCCCGAGAGCATGTGCGTCAGCGCCTCGGCCGCCGACGGCGCAGCGTTGTCGACCGATGGCCCCACATACACCATATCGCTTGACGACATCAAGCCGCCACTGCTACGGCCGCCGCTGTAGATCGGCAGTGGTGCTTCTTCGGCCATGCCTTCGGAGCCTACCAGTGGCTGCTGAGCGTGTGAGACTCGGTCGGTAGCCAAAGGCTCGGATATGTGCAGTGGGGCGAGCTGGAGCGGCGGCGGTTCCGGCGACGACGTCTTGGGTGACGGCGCCTTGACATCGGCAAATTGGGCAATGCCGCCGCACTTTTGGCAACACTTGCACGCGCGAATTTCATCAGTAGCTGAGGCTCTGCTGGACGGCGAGACGCCATCGTCTTCGAGAAAGGCAAGGGTGAGCCTACAAGTGCATGAGGTGCAGTTGGCCGAGCAGCAGTCCAATCGCATAGGTTCGCTGTTCTGGGGCAGTGTCGGTGGCTCGGCACCAGACCTGCTGCCAATGTTGTTGTCGAGACGCGGAGAGCGGCTGATATTGGACAACGGGTTCGTACGAGCAGCCGTGTTCGACGACTCGCCCTCTCCCCCCGCACAGCCACACCCTGACATTGCTTGCGAGCTCACAAATGCGTAGTGGGTGTGGGAGTACGGGGTGAAGATCTCGAGCGGTGAGATACCCGGAATGCTGCAATGCAGATACCCCCGCACCTCGAGACGGGGAGTGGAGTGCCGAGTGCGTGGCACGAGTTTTCGAGCGGAAGCGCAAAATTGGCTGCTTCCCCCAGCTTGATGATCCCGGTCCTATGTCCGGCGCAGGCACTCCTGCTCGCCTCCACCCAGACAAGCAAGCTTCAGCCAGCTGCATATGTGCTCAATCATCTCCTCTACCTTGCCTTGATATGCTGTACTGCAGGAGGGTTCTGTGCCAGGCTTGTCGGGCCGAGAAAGTTTCACATCAGAGGGTGCGTTGGGTGGTGGAGCAAAGATTCGTTTGGAGTGCTCTCACCGGGTCGACAGCTTGAGTGCGACCTGTTCCGCACGGCCTCCAAACGGTCGGTTGAAGCCGACCAAGACTATTCTCTTGGAGTGACTAGTCAGAGCACACATGTACTGCCCTGAGTACCTGTCTACAGCTGGAGCGCTTGGGTAGCCTGCTGCCTACACCCAGAATTACACTGCGACCGCAGTCAACACCTCGATGCTGACCGAGTCTCTGCGAAACCGCATTGGCAAACACTCTGACACTCCTACCATCACCATCACACCCAGCCAACACTCTCTCTTCGACAACGCCCATTGCTGCAAGGGTGCACTTTATTCTCGGCCTCACACAGCACCTCCAACCTCGTTTCCGGCCGAATCCAGCTGTAGGCATCAGAGGAAGCGCAAAGTCCCAGACCTGAAACGTGAGGAGCGCATGGGGTAAAAATTTATGTTAACTGTCATGTGCGCCACTCAGAATCCAAACCCCGGCCACACAAAAACCATCGCCAATGAGGCAACCGACTGTGCGAGACTGTCGGGGCTGGTGCGAGACTAGCAGCGACGCCATTGGTGGCCACCCACATCCGCCATCACCGCACTCGGGGCACAGCACGAGGGCGACATGGGCAAGTCTGGATCTTCGTCGCCGAGCATGGACGAGGGCTACGGGAGCAAGAGCGGGAGTGGGAGGAGGGCTCGGCCCAGGGTGGACAAGGCGAGAGGACCGGCGGGTCGGAGCAGGAGCAGGAGCAGGAGCAGGAGCACGGGGACGGGGACGGGGACAGGGACAGGAACAGGGACCGACAAGAGCAAGGGCAAGAGCAAGAGCAAGAGCAAGAGCAAGAGCAAGGGTGGAAGGGGAGCCGCGAGAGGACAAGCAGCTACAGCAAGAGCAGGGTGGCGGCGGGTATGCCGGCACCAGCTCCGAGCAGAGCACGAGGCGCGCGAGCAAGAGCCAAGGCCAGAGGCGGGCAGGACAAGCCGGCGGCACGCAAGTCATCCAAGCACTCCCAGCACTCCCAGCACTCCAAGTCATCCAAGCACTCCAAGCCGACTGCGTCGCGATCCAAGGATGCAAAGTCCCGAACCAAGGGCAAGGCTGGGAGAAGAAGCCGTGGCGTCGAGATGACCACCATGGGTGCTGTGGGCGGCAAGAAGGGCAAGGCGATGCGGATGGGTCCGGCGACGACCACAGTCTTTATCTCGTCGGCGTACTCGTCGTTTGAGAGCTCGTCCGCAGAGGCGTCGACGACGACCGAGGTTACCCAGGTGCGGATGCGGCCGCGTGGCAAGTCGACGACAGGCTTCTCACCAACAACGGCTTCGACGGCGTCGACGGCGTCAACGTTCACCACTACTGCGGTCTCATCGACGGCGACGTGCGAGACAACGACCGCTATGTCGACGCTCACCACGACGGCGGCATCTTACTCGTCGTCGTCGTCGAGCTCCGACTCGTCGTACTCGTCGTCGTCGAGCGATACGCTGGATACCAACCTGTCATCGGTCGACACTCTCTCAACCCTCGACACCGCGCTTACTGCCGACGAGGAGACAACGGTGGCCACAGCCATCGGCGACACCTTCCTCGAGCTCGACGACTACTCGTACTACGAGGACGACTGGAACAACTTTTGGCGCGACGAGGGAGTGCTTCCGCCGCAGTCCGAGATGATCCGCGCCCACGCCAAGCACGCCAAGCGAGCCAAGCATGCCAAGCCCTGGGCCGGCCCCGCCAAGCAATCGCGGACGCGCTCACGCTCCAAAGGCATGCTCCTCCTCGGCGGCGAACGCGAGCGCCGTCGTGGCGGACGTGCGCAGGGCATGCCCATGCCGCCGCCGCGGGGCCAGCCGCCGGTCCCAGGCGTCCACATTCCGCCGGTCCCTGCCCCGGGCTCTCCGCACGGCCGCGGCCATTACCTCCCACCGGGCTACCACCTCCAGCAGATGGGTCCCGGTGGTGGCCCTGGGCCGATCCCCTACAATGCCGGACACTACCATTATCCTGGCCTCCTCCTCCCAGGCGGTCGTCGATGACTCTCGCCCTGACCCTAACCATTCCATCGCAACACTCTGCTCGAGTATGCACTGCGCCGCTTCGATCAGATCCACCAACCAACCAACCAACCAACCGATCAAACCCACCATCCAACCGATCAAACCCACCATCCAACCATCACTACCTCCATCCAACCGATCAAACCCAACCAGCCAACCAACCCAACCATCCCAACCATCCATCCATCACTACCTCCATCCACCCCAACCACCCCAACCAACCAACCAACCGATCAAACCCACCACCCGCCACCACCACCACACACACACACACACACGCACAGACATACCACCAACACCAACACCAACACCCCACCACACCCACCACCACACCCACCACCACATACAACACCACTACCATACATACAACTATGGTACGCCTCCTACCCCCCCCCCCCCCCCCTACCCCCCCTGACCCACCTTCCCCTCCCCCCCCCAGAGTGCGACCTGTCACTCCCTCCCCCCTTCCCCCCCTCCCACTTCTACGACCTTTTCCTCACCACCACCGCCCCTACCCCACACCACACGCACAGGCGTCGTTGAAGCCGTCTGCTGTGCCGAAGCAGGCCATGCCTGCTGTGGGGATGACCTCGCATGCGATGGTTGATCCTATGACTGCGGGACTCGGCAACACGGTCGCTGCCGAACTCCGGCCCATGCACCCGGTGGAGGCCATCGAGGCCAACGCGCCGGCCCAGGAGGCTGCTCTGACCAAGCACGCTCTGGACGCCACCTTTGGCTCGCATGCCTTCCTCCGCACCCAGTTTGAGGCTGCCGTCTTCTCGCAGTACCACCGCCTCCCGGGCCTTCCGTCGTCGTTTGTCGCCCTCGACACCCTCTCGGGCGCCGATGAGTCTATCTCCTTTGCCGACTATCTCGGTGACGCCCGCGATCCCGTCGAGGCTCCCAACCTTCGTGCCCAGGCCGAGGCCCTCTACGGCATCCGCATGCCGGCCGAGCGCTAAGTGCTGAGCAGGTTCCCATCTCGGCACTGCCACTGCCGTCCCGACTAAAACAGGTCATCGTACCACATTTGCTCCTGCCCAGCCTGCTACGACCACCCGTGCACCCGCCCGGCATCGTACAGCCGGGCCAGCTCCTCCGAGACCCGGTAGTCGGATACGGCCTTGAGCTCGAGCCACTTCTTGTAGAGAAGGAGGGCGGCGCGCGCGTCCTCGACCGAGTCGTGGGTGTCGACCTGGATGGTCTCGTCGAGGAGGTGGCGCGAGAGGAACGACAGCTTGAGCCGCCGCTGCTTGGCGATGTAGAAGAGGTCGACGGTGTCGACAATCTGCTCGTGCGGGACGACGATGTTGATCATACGGAAGTCCTTCTTAAGGCCATGGCCGCAAAAACGTACCCGGCGTCGGCGAGCCAGCGAATCTTGAGGTACGCGTCCTTGAGAGTGACGAGCGGATACGGCGACGTGGCAGGGTCGAGGTCGCCCGGCTGGATGCCTGAGAACTGGGTTAGATGGTCGACAACCGGCTCGGCAGCAGCGATGTAGTCGTCCACAATGACCGACTCGTCGCCAAGGAGGACCGAGACCCGCGCAAGCGCCAGCCGCCGGTGCCGCAGAATCCGCGTCTCACCGTACGCGTCGAGCTCCTTCTCGTCGTTGGAGAGCGCCACAAACTCGGCGTCGAGCGCCGCCAGCCGCATCTCGCCCTCGCCCGGAGGCGGGAGCGGCTGCGGAAGGACCGAAGCAACCACATGGTTGGTCACCACACATGCTTCGCGCAGGATGTCCGGCACCGCGCCATCGGCCACCTTGCGGTAGTACAGCGCGGCAGGCACCTTCCACTCGTCGTGGAATGTCGTAGCGTCGTCGGCCGAGCAAGGCGTGATGATGAGATCGTTGAGCAGGTGCCACGACTCGACGTGCGGCGCCTTGACCGCCACCATGCAGTGACCGGGCTCGTTGGCCTCGGCTGCTGCGCGCGGGTGCACGTACATCACGCTCGCGTACAGTGCGTACCTTCCGAGCACCTCGCTTCCGGCCGGCACAGCGTCGCCAGGCGCAAGCGCCTGCACGCCATCGCCGACCGAGACCGCCACAAACTCGCGCGCAACCTTGACCTGCGGCGACCGCCAGAACGATCCCGCGCTCGTCTCGGTCGAGCCCACGTTGACCACCAGCTGCCACGGCAGGTTCTCCACCGCAGACCGCTTAGTGATCGGCTTGTAGTCGCCGCACGTCTTGCACACGCGCGCGCCGAGAGCGTCTTGCTCAGCGAGCCGTTGAGCCCCGCAAGGAAGGCCTTGCTCTCGCTCGCCTCGCTGACCTCGCGCGACGGAATCGCGTACTCGAGGCAGTCGCTTCCGGTCGCCTTGCCAGTGTTGCTCCCGCACACCCGGCACTCTTCGCTCACCCGGACCTGCATGCGGAAGAGCGTGTCGAAAAGCTCATCAGCGTGTCCCAGCTCCGACCGCAGCTGCGGGACAATGAACCGGTTAAAGGCTGTGACAAGGTGCGGGTACGGCGTCGACCCGTCCGGATCCTCAGGCTCGAGCACAGACATGTTCGCCGCAACCTTGATGTGCGAGAGCGCCCGTGCAAAGTTGGTTGCCTGCGCCGACGCGCCCTGCGCCTTGCCCATGTTGTGGAAGAGAAAGCCGAGCTCGCATGCAAGGCAAAACTCGACAGAGCACACGTGCGAAATGAGCGACGCCCGCAACGGCTCGATGGTGAACAGCGTTTGCAGGACGCCGTTGACAAAGCAGTTGGTGAACCCGTTCTCCAGCGCCGCAAACACCTCAGACTTGTTGTAGTGCTCGCCGATGCGAAAGTGCGTCGCCGTCACCTGCTTTTGCGGGACAACAAAGAGCCGGTACGGCCGCGGCGGGCCCAGCATCGATGCCAGGCCCGACTCGTCGCCCATCCCGTGCGACCGCGACCGCTTCATGTCGCTCCGTCCGCGCCCGCTTCGCCCGCCCCGCCCGCGCCCGCGCCCACGCCCGCGCCCACGCCCGCGCCCGCGCCCGCTCCGCCCAACCTCCAGCAGCCCGCCGCCCGAGTGCCCGCCGGCGTCCGAGAGGTGGACCGGGACCGAGGTCGAGCGCGAAATGACCGAGCCCGACGCGGTCCGGCCCGCCGGCCGACTTGTGCCGTGCCGCATGGCGTCGAGCACGTCGAGTCGGTGGGCCGCCACCGTGTTCCGCTTGATGCCAAAGGTGTTGGTCGCGTACCCGATGCCGCCCGCCATCCGCAGCGACGCCTTGATGGTTCCCGGAATGGCAAGCGGCGGAAGGCCCGGGGAGTAGCCGAGCCCGACAGGCCAAGCCGAGAGCATCGACTCGGGCCCGCCGCTCAGCTCGGCGTACGGCGTGTAGACCGAGCCGAGGCCCAGTGGCGCCGTCCGATCCGCCACGTCCGGCATGCCCAGCACGCCGAGCGTCGGTGGCTCGGTCGCAGGCGTGCCCTTGCTCACCACCAGCGGCGGCTCGCTCGCGGGCGAGGTGCCGACCAGCGGTGGGCCGGGCTCAGTCGAGCTCGCAGGCACCGGCGAGAGCATGTGCATGCATCCGCCGGCCTCAACAACGCCCAGATACGCGCCCGACGGCGACATGGCCATGTCCACCAGAAACTGTTGCGGGCCCGAGAGCGCAAGCTGCCCGCCGTGGCTCCGCCCCAGAAACTCGCCCAGCACCCCGTGCGACTCGTAGACCCCGAGCTGCGAGGCAATGATGAGCGAGGTGCCGGCGGCGGCAAGCAGCGCCGGACCCTCGGCAAACGGATCGACGCCAGCTCGCGGTACATCCGGATGTCAAAGATCTTGACCGCAAGGTCGAGGTGGAGCCCCCCACGGCCGGCTGTCCGACCGGCCGTGGCCACCAGGCTGTCGCTGACAACCACCATGTCCGACAGAGCACCAAAGTGGGCGTTGAGCGCCTCGATGGGAGCCAGTGTATCCGGCTCTAGAACCAGCACCTTTCCACCAGGCTTGCCCGCAAAGACGGCGCCCGATGCAGCCGCAAGCTTTGCCACGCCTGTGGAGCCGATGGTGTACGAGGCATCGTACTTTTTGAGGATGCGCGCGGTGCCCATGTCGATGAGGAAGAGCTCTCCCGCAGCACCACCTGCAAGCAGCTGGCTCTCATGTCGCTGGAACATGAGGGTGGACAAGGCGGTCATCTCCGCCGACCGAATTTCTCCCAACTTTGCTCCTGCCCGAGACCGGAGCTGGACCCGCGAGGGCGAGGCGAGGGCGAGGCCATCACCGTAGCAAGCCAAGTCTGTGACATGCCCCGAGTCTGGAGGACCGGCTACAAAGGAGGCAGTCCGGGCAGTTGTAGCAGGTGCCAGACCGGTGACCCATGGGGTCATGGCTCGGGTGTTCCGTCCCGTACACGGGTGACCTCCCCAGCCACCGCCGACCCACACCATAGGGCTTCCCGTGTCAAAGGCCACACACGACGACGGAAGGTGCGTAGCATACGTTCCATGACTGTCAAAGCTCGCGGGTGCTCCCTGCCACCCGCTGTTCATCTCAATAGCTTCTTTCCCCCTCCCCCCTTTGGCCTTGCCTTGCCCGCCTCCTTGGTCGCACGGAACGGTGGGGTGGTCGGGCGCCTGGTCGTCATCCTCGTCGTCGTCGGTCGGCCAGCTCTCTCCCTCTCACACACTCTCTCACACACACAACCGCTGCTGTGTTCGCTGCTGCCATTTTATTCGACTTTGGGCAAACGATGAATTTTAGGCTCAAAAGTTGTTGTTTGCTGGTGGCACGCTACGCTGGCTAGCGGTGTGGCTACAGGCACGGAATGGGAGACACGGGGGTGGAATCGTAGCAATGATGGGGGGGTCTCGTCCCATCGACTGATTAACAACATCAAGACCAGCAGCAGTGAGTGGTAGCTTCTCGTCTTGTCTTGTTCTCTCTCCCTAGTCGTCTCGGCTTGACATCATTACTCGACGTCATGGATCTCGGCAAAGAGCCCATCGTGGCTCTCGGACGGCTCGTGGCGGGTGGCTGCGGCTGCCAATCCCCGCAGTCGCCGAGTGGTGTAGCGGGTGGCGTACGCGGCGGCCCACGAGGTGTACGCCTCGATGGTGGTGCCAGCCATGACAATCATGCGAGTCTGCGGGCCGAGCGTGTCCGAGCTGTTCATCGAGCCAGCCCGGAGCGAGAGCATGTTGGTCGAGGCCGAGGCGTCGACAGCAATGTCGATCGACTTGCCGCGGGTGCCGTTGATGACGAGAATAAAAAACATGGCGCCAAAGACGTACGTCCACAGCGTCATGCCCTCGCCGTAGTCGGCCGGCGAGCCGCGGCGGGCGACGAGGTCGGCCACCACCCGCCGCGCCACGTTGGCGTTGGTCTCGGCCTCACGGATGACAACCGGGTGCGCCGACGAGAGAGCGAGCGTCAGTTTGGTCCGCCCGCTCAGATCGGGCGCCATCGGGAGGACCACGTACTCGGCGCTGGGATCGTCGAGCAGGACGTCCATGGTTCGCGACCGCCGCGCCAGCGGCGACACGCTCCCTACCACGGTATACAGCCCGGGCCCGCGCCGCTTGGCCACCAGCACGCCGATGGCAATGTATGCGTACGCCGTCGCCTCATCAAATTGGCGGTCCGACGCTTGCAGGATCTCCAACGCCACCCAGGTCGGCGCCGCAACTGTCACTTCAAAGGCTGACGCCGTCCACGGAGCGGCCACCAGCTCATTGGTGGCGAGCGGGACTCGATACTCGTGCCACGCGCTGTTGAGCATGCAGACCGAGACCGCGCCAAAGTACCGCAGAAAGTCATCAAACGACATCCAGAAGATGCCGTCCTCCGACGCCTCCGAGTACACCTCGAGCTCGCGCCGCATCTCTGCTGTCCACAGCGCCGAGTGGTCGCTCCAGTCGCCGCGCCACTCGCTCGCCCGCCCGCTCCCGCCCCACGGGTTGCGGATCTGCATCAGCCACAGCGAGCCAACAGACCGCAGCTGGAGCAACGAGTACGCATGGTTGTCGTTGAGTCCGACACTTTGATACACCTCGCTGCTCAGCCCGTGCCGCCCGCACGAGAGCGCCACCAGGTAGCCCGACTCGTGCCACGAGAGCAGCTGACCCCACAGGAGCTCCGGATCTTCCGCAGAGAGCTCGTCGGGTGCCGACGCCGACGTCGTCTCCAGCGAGACTCGGAGCGTCGGTGCGCCGGTCAGATCCTGTAGCGCTTCCGTCGAGACGCCGCCAGCAATCGCGCGGTAGCTGCCGTGGAGCTTGGCGTACGCCTTTTCTACAAGTGGGACCCAGAGCTGGTTCCGCGCCGCCTGCGAGTACACCAGCCGGCCCGAGTTGGCATCGACCGGCAGCCAGTCGTCGACCGTCACCACCCGCCACTCGCCGTCCTTGCAGAACCGGAACGAGTACACGCCCTCGGAATTGAGCTCGGGCGTGAGCACAATGCGCTCGAGCAAGCCCGGCCGCTCAGCAACAAGCGCCAGCGCAGAGAGGAACCAGCAGTCGCCCAGCGCGCCCTGCTCGATGTCCTGCGACGACGCTGCGCCTAGTCCCGATGCGAACAGTCGCCATCCCTGCCGCCCTGCCCGCCGGATGTGCTGCGGCCGCGCCCACATCTTCTCGCGTCCATCAACCGCCTTGAGCGCCTCGGTCATGTTGCCCCCGTAGAGTGAGACGTCTGTCGGCGGAAAGTCGGCGTCGGCAAACGGAGCAAGCCCAGCTTCAAGGATGGCCATCAGCCGCGACTCGGCCTCAGCCACGTCGCCGGCCAGCACCTCCTCGGCCGACGTCGTCGGCACCCACCCATCCGCGAGATCCGCTAACGAAATGGCCGACTCTGCTGATGCCAGCGAGCTCTCTGATGGAAAGGCACGCCGCGTGTCGAGCGGCGAGATCGGCGTGCCCGGCGTGCCGCCGTCCGGCCGCTTCACCCTCACTTCGCCGCACGCCTCGCACATTGCCGCGCCGACAGAGTTGACAAAGGTGCATCTGCGGCACGCCCAGCCGACCGGCGCGGTGTGCGCTGCGCTTGCGCTGCTCCCGCTGTTGTAGCCCGACGGCGCAGCAGTGTCCCACGCGACCTCTATCTTGCGCGAGACCGGCGGTTCGCTCGGCTGCAACACCAGCGTAGTCGAGATTGGCGCCAGCCCGGCACTGGCCTCGCCGCGTGCAGGCGTGATCACCACCGTCACATGGACCTCTCCCTCGAGCTTGCGCGAGTACTTGAACGGCGGCGAGCGGAGGAGGATCTGTGCTGGCTTGAGCGTCGGCGGAAAGTGGAGTTCGACACTCCCGATGTCCGGCCCGCCCTCACCCGCAGCGACCACCTTCATCCGCATCGTCCGCCCGCTCGTCTTGTATGCAATGAGCACACCACTTGTCAGCGCACCGCCAGACCCGCCACTGCTACCATTGCTTCGCGAGCCGCCATCACGCCCCAGCGGCGGAAGCGGAGCAAAGCCACATACAGCGCATGAAGCGCCCACACGCTCCAACGGATTGGCATAGGTACACATCGGGCAATGTACAGTCAAGGCCGATGTCGATGCCGATGTCGATGTCGATGTCGATGTCGACGTCGATGTCGATGTCGATGTCGATGCCGATGTACCGCTCCGCCTCCGACTGCTCTGGCCACCGCCGCCCGCCGACGACCTCGGCTGGCCTGCAGATCTTCTGGAACTTTGACTCGGCTTGGAAGGAGGACGGGGAGTCTCACAAACTGCGCATGCCGTGCTTGACAGCGGGTTGTCCAATGTGCACGTCGAGCACGACCACATCAGCAAAGTGTGCGACAAGTGTGAGGAACGGCTGCCGAAGGAATGGCAAACTCGGAAGGAATTGGATGGCCGACTGGCCGACTGGCCAACTGGCCTGTGCCCAAGGCGGGATCATACATAGGGAGAAGAGGCTTGCCCATCATGCGATCATCATAAATTGGGAGGTGATGAGAATCAGGATTGGCATGGGAGGACGGCCGAGTAGTGGAGGAATCGCGGTTGGGGTATGTACCTCCAGCAGTCGCGGCCGTGTCCGTCCGACCCTTCCAGGAGATGGGCCATGACGATGGAACAAGCTCTGATTATCGAGGGTAGATCAGAATCAGGCGAGTTGCAAGACACAAGTACACTCTCACACACACTCTCACACACACACTCTCACTCTCTCGCACACCCACACACCCCAAGTGCATTTCCATCTTCAGCGATGACGATCCTTTATACGCAGAAGCATTCCCGTGACATAGGCAACATCACCTGTCATATCTTCAGATCTCGAAAAAGATCCCCATTTCTCACCACACTCCCTTTCCCACCCTCTCTCACCCTCTCTCTCTCCATCGCCCCCCCATCCCACCCCACTATCCACTGCTCCTCACCCCCACCTCTCCATCCATCCGTAAATCATCACCATCTCCTCATCATCCACCACACAGCCGCCCATCCCCCTCTGGGGAAAAATGTCACAGCATTCGCTGCTCTCTGCCAAAGTGCCGTGGCTCATGACTCCTCCGCCTTTCCCCGCTCCTGCCACGCCGCCGCAAACGGGAGTGTATTTGGGGGATAGGCATTCGCTTCTCTCTCCGGTTAGCAGAGATGAAGAAGGCCATGACCATTTGCTTGACGGGTGTGGTACTTGTTGTTGTCTACATGGTCATGGTCGGTATCTCCAGTCATGCCCATGGTGCATACACCAGTCTGGTGGCAAGGCCTGCATGGGCGGACAAGGACCAGGTACGGGCAAGGGCAAGGGCAAGGGCAAGGGCAAGGGCAAGAGCCACAAGGGGGAGGAGGAGGGGAAGGGGAAGGGGAAGGGGAAGGGGAAGGGGAAGGGGAAGGGGAGGGGGGTGGTCACTCACAGCAGTCACCATTCTGGAGGTAGGACGGGCTGACGTACCTTCCGCCGTCGACGGCCACTTTGGCCTTGGGCACACCGTGCACACCCGGACCAGACTGGTGTACGAGAGTGAGCAACAGTGGGCTCAACAAGTTGCTGGTCAAGGTCAATGTTGGTCCGTTTTGTGCTGATCTCATTCAACCAGCGGCGTTGGCCCTCAAGCGCGGCTTGGCAGAGTTGAAGAAGAACGATGCCGTGCTGTGGGGCAAGCTGACCGCATCGTGCGTCTGCTGTCGGTACATCTCGGGCAAGACTGATCTCTCCAACCACTCATGGGGCTCGGCATGCGACTTTCGTATCGATGCTCAACTCGATCCTTATGGTGATGGCCTCGTTCAGGAGGGCCTCATCGACCTGTATCCGTTTCTCCATGACGAGGGTTTCTACTGGGGTGCGGGCTTCGGCTTTCCCAGGACCAAGAACGAAGACGCCATGCACTTTGAGACCTCGGCCCAGACGTACGCGGGCTGGCAGGCCGATGATAGCCTCAACCCAGACACCCCCTGGCCCGTTCCGGCCTCGCCACTCAACGAGGCCTCGTGCGCCTGGCCGTTGGTTCCCGAAAACGGCGCTCTCTGGTCTACTGGCGATCCGGCCCAGCCACTGGCGGTTGTTGTCCAAGCGCTCCTCACCCACAACTGCCATCGCGCTACTGCTGACGGCAAGTATGGATCTGGGACCAAGGCCAAGGTCCAGGCGCTGCAGGAGGATCTCAAGCTGGCGACGACTGATGGCCTGGTCCGGTCCGAGACCTGGCGGGTTCTCTTCCAGCCGGCCGAACTCGGCGACTCGAGCAACGCGGTCTACGCTTACAAGTATGCGCTAAATGCGCAGACCGGCACGACGCTGGCAGTGACTAACACGTACGACTCGGCAACTCGCAATGCGGTGACGTCGTTCCAGGCCGCCCGCGGCCTGGCGCAGACCGGCAAAATGGACCTGCCCTCGTTCCAGGCGCTCATCACCGGGTGCTCGGGAGGAGGCAGCTCGGTGCCGACGCCTGCGCCGACGCCTGCGCCTACCCCTGTCCCTGCGCCAACGCCGTGGCCGACGCCTGCGCCGACGCCGCGTCCAAGCCCGGCGCCTACACCTGCGCCCACCCTGCCGCCGACACCAACGCCTGCGCCGGCGCCTGCCGGCGTCTACTCTCAGCCGGTCGCCATTCCGTCATGGGCCGATGCCAACCAGAACGGGCTCACGCGGCTCTCGTCGTCGACAGCTGCGTCGCGGTGGCCGTCGCCGTGCGCCTCGGCAGGCCTCGACGATGTGATGGCCACGCTCAACGTCGGCCCATTTTGTGCTTCGGGCGCGCTGCCTGCACTCACCGCGTTGCGCACAGCCTTTGACTCACTCCGCACTTCTGACCGTGGCCTGTACAATGCCATGGGTCTTGCGGCGGACGCGTGCTGCTGCTCTGCGGGCACGCTTGCGTCTTTTGGCCTCGCCTTTGGCTTTTCGCTCGACGGCGCGAGTGACGCGCCGGCGGACGCGACGACGCTCTCGGGTCTGGTCTCATTCTACCCGCACGCCCACGCAGCGGGCCTTTTCTGGTCGCCGGCGCGTGCGGCGTTTGAGGCCTCGTCTCAGGCGTACGCCACCTGGGCTGCCGAGGGTCGTCTTGCTTCTGGCGCCGTCTATCCGCTTCCCACATCGCGGTGGAGTGATGCCGTGTGCGCGTGGCCGGTCACTCCTGCTGGCGGCGTGTTGTGGACGTCGGGCAATCCGGCGTCGACGGTGGCCAAGGCCGTCCAACTCCTGGTCTCGCACGGATGCCACACCACCACGCCTGACGGGCTGTATGGGAGCGGGACCGCGGCGGTGGTGGCGTCTTTCCAGGCTGATTTGAACTTGCCAGAAACCGACGGCATCACTCGGGCCGCAACCTGGCGGGCGCTATTTGTGTCGGCCACTATCGGCGACTCGGCCCCCACGTCCGGGCCTACCGTCTCCTCCTGGCTGTTGCCGGCTACTCGCTTTCAGACTCTTCGACCTATGACGCTGCCATGCAAGCCGCGGTGGCCGCGGTGCAGTCCAGCGCGGGTTTGACCGTCAGTGGCGAGCTGAACGACATCGCCACGCTGCACGCGGTCTTGGGCGGATGCAGCTCGGCGAGCACGCCAGTGCCAAGCCCAACCCCGAGTCCCAGCCCGGGTCCGACACCTTCGCCGACGCCGCGACCGACACCCGCGCCGACGCCGCGCCCGCCCCCACCTTCGCCGCCTCCGCCAGTGACGACGCTTGTGGCGACGCCGGCGCGACTGGCGCGGTATGTCCAGCGTGGCCAGACTCCCAACACGGCGCTCAACGCGCTGGCCTTTGTAGGCGCGCCGTGTGCGGCGCCCGCTGCGGCGCCGGGCTGCGCCGCGGTGACAAATCCGAGCATCACCGCGGCGCTCTTTACCACACGTGTGGGGGCCAGCTGCGTCACCGGGCTCCGGCCGCTGGTGATGGGCGCGCGACGGGCGCTTGCAGCTGCTGCGGCGGAGATGCCGTTTGTGACGGCGGCGGTGTCTGTGCCGTCGGCTTCAGTGGCGTGCTGCGCGGTCGAGGCCGGGACGCTCGCCGACTCGTCGTTTGGCGCGTCGCTCGAACTCGCGCTCGATGGCGTGGTTGATGCCGTCGGCGACGGGCTGACGCAAACAGGGCTGGTGGATCTTGCCCCGTACTTTGTGGCCGAGGGCCTGTGGTGGGGTGCGGCGCGGATGCCCGAGGCGTCGGCGCAGTTCTCGCTCTCACTGCAGGCGTTTTCAATGTGGGCCAACGCCGGAGGTGCAACCGGCTTGATAGACCTGCCAACGGTGGCCGGCGAGCGGCTGCCTACAACCCCGGCCGGCGGGCAGCTTTGGTCGCCCGGAGCACCGGCGTCAGCGCGGGCCGAGGCAGTCCAGCACCTCCTCGGATTTGGATGCCATCCGGTCACCGTCGACGGGCTGTACGGGAGCGGGACGCAAGGCGCCGTGTTTGCGCTGCAGACCGACGCCGGCCTGAGCCCGGCCGACGGCATTGTTCGGGACGCGACGTGGCGGCTGTTGTTCCAGCCGGCTGTCCGTGGCGCGTCCGGTGCCCACGTCGCCGCATATCGGGCGCTCCTCGGCCTCGGCAGCGGTACATCGTTTGACACCAGCATGGTCGCCGCAGTCGCCAGCGTCCAGTTGTCGGCTGGACTCGACGTGACCGGCGTCGTCGACGCCGATACCTTTGGAGCCCTTATCCGTGCCGCTGCGTAGGCCACTCATTATTTCACCCAATGGTCCGCATTCATGTTAAAGCATAGAAGCAGACAGGTTGCTGGTCGACGACTCGCCGCCATCGGTTTGCCACAGCCCGCCCAGCAGCTGGCCTTGACCGTCATGAGCTGCTCAGCTGCCTGCCGCCAACATTCGAGCCTTTGAAGCATCGGTTTGGTCACTCGTCTCAAATTGGCCAGCGGTTGTTCGGCCAGTCCAACGACGACGACCATCCTCCATCAGATGCTCCGAGGAGGAAGGAGCCTGTCGGGGCATGTACCGAGCATTGGAAGGGTATTGGCAAGCATGGCATGGAGAGCAGGTAGCATAGTACCAGGTCAATCACTTGCCTCACTCTGTCGGTTCTCCAGCACTGCGCTGGGCGCTGACGCAGCTTCAGACTCGGACGCGGCAAGCCAATCGCCTCGCCCGCCACTCTTCCGTGCCACTCCGCTCAACACGGCAACGACGACTCATGCTGATGCCCGCCCACATTCAGAGCCAAATTCATCGAATGGCCTGGGCGAGGCCGACCGATCGCTCAACTCGGGCGAGTTGGATGGATCGGGGGGAGAGACGGGTCAGCCCGGAGAGGCTGGTGCTCGTGGTGCTGCAACCCGCTCTGTGCTCGACATGGACTATCTTGCCTCGGCGAGCTCAGAGGCTGAAGCTCGTATGGCTGCTGTGGCGGCTCGTACAGGCAGGTCCGTTCCACAGCCATCAGCTCTGCTGCGAAAGGCGGCGGTGGCCGTCGGGTCAAAGCCCTCTGAGCTCATGATCGACCCAGCCATCCGCGACGCCAAGCTGGCCGAGTACCGCATGGAGATCGAGCTGTTTGGTCTCGCCGATGGCACAGCAGTCACCACTGAGCTGTTTGAGGAGCAGCTGACGCGCGAGACGCTCGCGCTCGATGCAGCCGTGGCAAAGTACAAAGAGCAGGCGGCCAAGGTGACCGAGCTGGGTCGCGGTGCAGAGCTTGGTCCCGGCCAGTCGCTGCTGCTCAAGTGGTTTGGTCCGCTCGCCGAGGCCATCGGCGAGGAGCAGCGGCTGGTGCGGACCCGCGAGGGCTCATCCGAGCGCGCAAAGTACGGCCATCTGCTTGCGCTCGTCGAGGCCGACAAGCTGGCGGTCATTACCCTCCACGAGCTTGTCGGTCTCTCGCTCGCCTCGGCCACGCAAGTCAAGTTTGTCAAGGCGTGCATGGCTGTCGGCGAAGCGGTCGAGGCCGAGGTCAACCTGGCTCGGCTTCGGCGCGAGGACCGGTCTGCTCTCGTCCGGCTCAAGCCCAAGCCCTCGGTTTCGGCCGTCAACGCCTCGGCCCGCTCGCTGCTCCCGGACTCGTCGTTCCACAAGGAGGGCAAGCTGCACGTCGGCGCGGCACTGATCAAGACTGCGCTGGCGACGTGCACGGTGGCGGTGCCCGACGGCGGCCATGCCGCCGCCTTTGAGCACCGCATCGACGTCGGCCGTGGCGGTCGCAAGACCGGCTGGATCGCCCTCCACTCGTACGTGCTTGACCTGGTCGAAGCCGGCCACCTCGAGGTCCAGCCTGCACCGCGGCTCTCGCCGATGCTTGTCCCGCCGCGGCCGTGGACGTCGCCGTCGTCGGGCGGCTTCCTCTCGCTCCCCACCTCGGTCCTTCGCGCCAAGTCGTACGTCCAGCAGGAGGCCCTGCGTGGCGTCGGCATGTCTGAAGTCCTCGATGGGCTCAACGCGCTCTCGGCCACGCCGTGGGTTGTCAACGCAAGGGTGCTCGAGGTCATCCAGGCTGCGTGGGACGCCGGCGGCGGGCTGCCGTACGTCCCGTCGCGGGCACCGGTCGACGATCCGCCGCCGCCGCCGGCCGACGCGCCGGCCTCGGAGCACGCCGCCCACCGGAGAGCCATGGCCAAGGCGCGGCAGGCACGCAATGATCTGACCTCGCTCAAAGCCGACCTCGACATCACGCTGCGAACGGCGGCCGACCTTGCTGACAAGACCGCTCTCTTCCAACCGACCAACCTTGACTTCCGCGGGCGCGCCTACCCGGTCGCGCCCACGCTCAACCACCTCGGCTCGGACCTCAAGCGTGGCATGCTCATGTTTGCCGAGGCCATGCCGCTCGGCGAGCGCGGCTGGTTCTGGATGAAGGTTCACCTCGCCAACGTCTTTGGCTTTGACAAGGCGTCCAACATCGAGCGTGCAGCCTTTGCCGACGAGAACCTGGACAAGATCCGGGCGTCGGCGGCTAATCCGCTCGGTGAAGGCGAGTACGACCGTTGGTGGCTCGAGGGCGAAAACCCGTGGCAGACGCTGGCGACCTGCTTTGAGATCGCCGCCGCCGTCGACTCGGGCTCGCCGGCCGACTACAGCTCGCGGCTGCCTGTCGCCCAGGACGGCTCGTGCAATGGCCTGCAGCACTACGCTGCACTCGCGCTCGATGCCGTCGGCGGTGGCTCGGTCAACCTTGTCCCCGGGCCGGAGCCTGCCGACGTGTACTCGGACGTCCTGCGGGTGGTGCTCGAGGTCATCGACCGCGATGCCGCCACCGGCGTCGACATTGCTCAGGCCGTCCAGGGCATCGTCACCCGCAAGGTTGTCAAGCAGACGGTCATGACCTCGACGTACGGCGTGACATTTGTCGGCGCTCGGGCCCAGATCGAGAAGCAGCTCGGCGTTCTGCCGGAAGAGACTCGCTTTGCCGCCTCGTCCTACCTCGCTCGCACCGTCCTCAACTCGATCGGCTCAGTCTTTGCCAACGCCTCGCAAACCATGTCGTGGCTCGCCAGCGCCGCGCACGCCGTGGCCAAGACCGGCGAGCCTGTCCGCTGGACCACTCCGCTCGGCCTCCCGGTTGTCCAGCCCTACGTCCGCGAGCAGGCGCAGCAGGTGCAAACCGTCCTGCAGGCTGTCTCCCTCCTCGATCCGCGCGAGCAGCCTGTCGCCGTCTCCAAGCAGCGCTCCTCCTTCCCGCCCAACTTTATCCACTCGATCGACGCCACGCACATGCTGCTCACCGCCACTGCCTCGCGCCGCGCCGGCATCACCTTTGCCTCGGTCCACGACTCGTACTGGACCCACGCCGCTCGCATCGACGACATGTCCGCCATCCTCCGCCGTGAGTTTGTCCAGCTCCACAAGCGCGCCCTGCTTGAGGATCTCCGTGCCCAATTCCGCCAGCGCTACCCTGATGTCGAGTTTGAGGACCTCCCCCCGCGCGGCGACCTCGATCTTGACCTTGTCTTGGAGTCGGAGTACTTTTTCTCGTAGCCGCCGTACCGTGCGTGCACCTGCAGCAGTACATCCCACCCCTTCCGATCCCCCCCCCCCCCCCTTCCGATCCCCCCTTCCCCCAGCCATTTGATCAGGCAGATGAGCTGGCCAGTGGCCAGTGGCCACGACGACGAGTCAGCCACCAACCACCGCACTTGACTCGACCAGAAGAGCGACAAAGCGACAGAGCGAGCGACAGAGCGACAGAGCGAGCGACAGAGCGAGCGACAGAGAGAGGGAGAGAGAGAGAGAATGGCTGGAGAGGTGCCTCGGCGAAAGTGCCCCTTTGACGAGACTGATGAAGCAGGTGCAGGCGGGAGTATGTTCCCGCTCTCCGAGGTCTACGTAACAAAGTCGCAGTTCAAGTGGTCGGGCAAGTTGGTCACTGGTCCGCCTTCGGCTGTTCCTGGCTCCTCCGTCCTGGCTCTGGCCATAACCTCCCTGGTCTTGTATATGGGTTGGTTGGATGTCTTGCTGCCGGAGGATGGCTCATGGGCTTTGTGGGGTACGTCACATTGGCTGAGGGGAGGTGGGTGCGGGGGTGCGGGAAGGGGGGGGGGGAGAGGGGGGGGGGGCGCGGCGCGGGTGCGGGGCGGAGCGACAGACGGACACAGTACAGTGCAATGGGGTAAGACTCATGCTGGGCAATGTGGACGGAATGCATGAATGATCGATCTGTGTGTCTGTGTGCGGTTTGTGTGTGGCGGCTTTGCTGACGGTGGGATGATCGGTATGGGTCTGCTTGTTGGCTGATGGCGATCGGCGTGGGTTGGCTGATGGCGGCCTGGGCACGCTGGGCGCGCTTGGGGCTGGGGATTGGGGTCGTGTGTGTCTTTGTGTGTGTTGGGAAAACCGTCGCAGGATTGAGAGCCGCTATGCTGTACTTGCTCATGCTGATTATGGTCGGACTCACGGTGGTCAGGTTCTCCGACCCGGGTATTGTGCCGTACCGCCGCGATGACGCCGAGATCGAGTTTACCTTTTGGGATGGCGTGGAAGAGGACGCAGGCTTTGTGGAGCGCAAGGTGGCCGGACACTGGGTTCAGTTCCCCCTCTGCAATGTGTGCCAGTTCTACAAGCCGCCCGGCGTCGAACACTGCTCGTTGTGCGACAACTGCGTCATTGGCTTCCGCCTCCATTCGTCCGTCATGGGCAACTGTATCGGCGCGTGCAACTACGGCCCGTACGTCATTGTTGTCCTCGCCGCCTTTCTCGAGTCACTGCTCATCGGTGTCTCGGCTGTCGCCTATCTCCGCTATGCGCTAGTCGTTCCGCTCTCGCACACTGCGCTCGCCGTCGTCACCGCCGCTATCTCGCTCCGCGTCGGCTTCCAGCTCTTTGACGCTGCATCCACCCATCTCGGCCTCCTCACCACCGCCTTCCGCACCTCGGGTAGCATCTCACCTGTGACGCGGTGCGTCGGCGCGCTGTGCAATGCCCCGCCGGCACCCATCGACTTTCAGACCATGGTTCCGCTGGGGCATGGGACTCGATTGAGACCGAGGAGGAGTCGTCCGAGGAAGAGCACTCGCCGGCGCTCGACGCTACCGCCGCCCTGCCCCATCCTGCTCCTGCTGCCACCGTACAGCCTGTTCCTCGCGCAGACCTCATCGGGGCCTCTGAGCCGGCCGCACCGCCGCACTCTCCGGGGCCGATGGTCCACAGTACCGGGTCCAAGAAAACGGCATAAAACCCCAACATACCTGCCCGCCCGCTCTAAAACCCAAAGACCAAGTAGATCTTGTTTGGCTTGAACATAATGTCGGCCAGTTCCCATGTTGCCACTGCTGTCTTTGCCTCTCCCTGACCAACCCCTCGCTACGACACAGCCAATCGCATCGACCGAGTGATAGTCGGGACGGCGGGCGAGGACAGACGAGCGAGTCCGGAGAGAGAGCAAGAGAGAGGGCGGGGACACTCAACGCATTCCCACAGACGGAATCAGAAAGCGATGGTACGCAAACATCCCAACATACTACCTTACGTGATGGAGTAGCATAATATATACTTTATATGTGTGTAGTTTATAGTGTGTGTTGACTACGGATGTGTTTGTGGCTGGCTGGCTGGGTGACCCGGGGGGTGGGGGGGAGGAAGGAGGATCGATCGGCTTCGTGAAGGCCGACATGGAAGAGACCGCGACCGAGCGAAAGGGAAACGGGGAAGGGGAAGGGATTGGGGGTACAGGGATGAATACAGGGAGGGGAGGGGGGATGGTTGGAGTGGAGGGATATATAATAGGTGTGGGGGCTGGCTCGGGTATGGCTGTGGCTGTGGCTGTGTCTTCTGTATGGACTATGCCCAGCCAGATCGTCCCCCCCCCCCGCCTTGTCGGAGCTGGGTGCTCGCTGGGTGCTCGCTGGGTACTCGCTGGGTGGGTGGGCGTCGAGGCATATCGGGTATGTCGATCGGGCATGGACTCATGTGGCATGGGGGGAGGGGGGTTCAGGCTAAGATCGACGAGGGTGATGAGCGGTGGATTGTGCAGGAGCGTGAGGATGGGCGCAATGTCGGTGGGTGGCACTGGGAGGAGCGCGACATGAGCAAGTGGGCAACGAGCCATTATGAGGAGCTGGCGACGGGCGCTGTGCTGCTGGATGGGAGCGGAGGCATGGAGGCAACGGTGACAAAGGTCAAGTCGTTCACCGGTGAGGTGACCGTCACCCATCGTCGCGGCAAGACGTATCTGTTCTACGAAGTCGCCGTCACCCTCTCGTTCAAGGCCACTCTCAACGCCGGGACGCCTGGCGAGGTCGTGGCTAAGGGCACCGTCGACATGCCGTACATTGCCGAGGAGAACGCGCGGGATGGCGACTATGAGATCAACGTCAAGCTGACCAAGAACAACTCTGCGGCGGCTCCGCTGCTCGCCGCCATCAAGGCCAAGGTCCGCCCGGTTGTTGTGGACCTCTTTGTGCGGCTGCTGGATGATCTGCGGGAGCACGCCAAGCCGACCGGTGCCAAGAAGGCCTCGGGTGCGGGTGCGAGCAAGGCACCGCCGGCGTCGGGCGCCGCGCAGGTGGCCATGGAGACCGAGCCTGCGGCGGCGGCGGCGCCTGCGGCGGCGGCACCGGCCAAAACCAAGGGTACGGGCTCGACCAAGTCGGGTGAGAAGACCGACTCGTTCAAGCAAAAGCTCCACTTTGATCTTCCGCCGGAGGAGGTCTTTGCCTGGATCACTGACGAGGGCCGGCTGTCTGCTGTGACGCAGGCGGCGACGTCGATGCCGCTCGAGGCCGGCGCGGCGTTCACCATGTTCTCGGGTCTTGTCTCTGGAACCAACGTGGCCATCGAGGCGCCGACCAAGCTTGTCCAGGACTGGCGGTTCGAGTCGTGGCCGGCCGGCCACCACTCGCGCGTCGAGTTCACCCTCACCCCGTCGCGGTCGGGCGGCACGGATCTGACTCTGAGCCAGTCCGGCATTCCGCGCTCCGACTTTGAGCGGACCAAGACTGGCTGGTCGTCCAACCTCTTCAACCGGTTCAAGGCCCTCACCGGGCTCTCGGTCGACTTTTTGTGACCAATGCCATAAACATGGTCATTGCACGCCGTGGTCCAACTCGCTCCGTGTGTCACGCCTGTCCGCCGTTTTGGGGAAGAGAACGGCACCTGTCGCCAGAGCACACGGGCGTAGACATGCTGAAGAAGGTGGCCGCGGTATGTGTAGAGGAGACGGGTGAGGATGTTGTATTAGTGGTTTGGTGCTCGGGGGTGGTATGACTCATGAGGCGTATGACCTGTGGCGTATGACCTGTGGCGCGGCTGGCGTGTGGCGTGTGTGGGGGTGACGGCTGGCGATGTGTGGTGACGGGCGGCGTTTTGTCAACATCATTCTGCGGAGCACCGCATCGTTCTACAGAAGGCATCAAAGACTCGAACTGCCGGTCTTGTCCGCAGGCTGCGAGGTCAGACAAACTCTGATCTGGAGAACGATGCCGGTGGGCCGTCCAGCTCTGAACCGGTCGAGGATGTGGCGGATGTCCAACCCGACGTCGCGCCCGTCGCGCTTGACGAAGAGCCTGAGCTCATTATGAACGTCGCATGCGCGGAGCCATGCCCGCAGCCTGATGGCAGCACTCTTCTTGACAACCCATTTGCCGAGTTTGACCGGCCTCTTGCCTGTGCGCAACCGTACGAGCCGATTCCAGTGCCAGACTCGATCTTTGACAACATGCCGGTCTCGTGCGCCCAGTTGCCGCCCCACATGCTTGTCCCCCCGACTCGCGGGATCAGATACCTACCATCACTCGTGTTCCGTCGTTTGACTTTATGGCTTGCGATATGGAGCCGGAAGAGTTGCCGGACCTGCCGCTTCCCCCTCAGCTAGGGTGTGCCCCGCCTCCCATGCCATTTCCACAGCAGCCGCTCGGGTGTGCGCCGCGGGCGGTGCAGATTCCGATTGGCCCGCCCCGCCCTCCACCCCCACCACAGCTTGGATGTGCACCACCACCGCAACGGCTGATTCCGCCCCCATGCGTGCCGCCGTTGCCGACCCAGCCGGACTTGGCTCGTCGGCCGCCTGTCCCAAACCAGGCGTCCCCACCGTCGTGGTGGGCCGATTCCATCAAGAACAACACCGGGCTGACCTGCCCGACAGCCGAGTTTCCCTCGCTTGCCAAGCTCTGCGTCCGGTCTATCCTTGACAATGACGTGTATGTTCGCGATGCGCCGGGAGTTAACGACGAGGCGCGCGCCGCCGTCGCCGACGGCATGCGGCGGTTCCCGTTCTACTCGCTCAAGGAGCCGTTGCTTGACGCGTGGTCGCCGCACGTCGTCGAGGCACTGCACGAGCCCATTGCCGCTGCCGACCCAGCTACCGGCCCACAGCCTGTCATCAACGTCTCGGTAGACCTCGTCGACTCGGCCAACCGCATCTATCAGATGGCTCTCATGATCGACACGGTGGACGAGCTCGCACGCCAAGACAACGTGGAGCTTGCCATGGACCGCTATGAGAAGTTCCTCAAGCTCGAGTCTACCAATGCTCGCGCCGGGGAACTCCGCTCATCCCTGCGCTCGACATCCTCGCTGTCTGGTTCTCGCACATTATCCGGACCCGCGAGTACAAGACGTACTGCGTCAGCGAGGCCGGACCTCGGGCGCGACACAAGCTCGTCGACCGTCGCGGTCCGCTCATTGTGCTCGACAAGTTTGGCAAGCTCCTCACCGACGATAGCGACTACGACGTTGAGGTTGCCCTCGAGCGGACGCGCACCGCCTGGCGCGAGGCTTATGGCGATGAGTACATTGTCAATCTCGCCGAAGTCTACCCGGACGGCGCCGCGCACCGGCCCGGCCTTGTCTCGGCCAACCTGCTCGCCACCATGACGCCTGCCGAGGTTGTCCGCGATCGCAAGTGGCTCGCCGGCCTTCACGTCGTGACGGGCGCCGATGGCGCCGACGCGCTTGCTGCGGGCTACACCCCGTTCTTCCGCGGCCTTGTCCGGTCATACGAGCGGTTCCTCTTCCTCGCCGCCAAGTACCCGGACCGGCGCTCGACGTTCATCTCGGTCGCTTACGACGCCGATCTCATCTGGCATGCGCATCAGATCTTCCCCTCGCTCTACGAACAGGACATGGGCCGCATCCTCGGCCGGGCCATGGCCCACGTTCCCTGGCCAGACTACACCGCCGAGCAACATGCGCGCAACACCTCGGAGCTCCACTCGGTCTGGACCGACGAGTTCCCTGACGACCCGTTCAACCACTAGCTTCTCCCTGCCTCTCCCTGCGTCTCCCTCCCCCCTCCCCCCCCCCTCCTCCTCTCCAATCCTCTAACGTTAATCCTCTCCAAGATCTTGTCATCCTCATCCCACGGCCTCCCCACCGGCACCGCCTTTTCGCCCGTCGGTTCATCGAGTCGCACTGACCCAAATGCGACACGAGCCAGTCAGTCACCATCACCACCACCTCCCTCACCTTCAGGACTACCACCACACGTCTCCATGTCTTACAGAACCCGATCCGCCCGGGTCACCAGAATCCGCAAGTGCGGCTCCGTCCGCGCGCCGCCCATATCAAGGAGTTCATACAACATGGTTGGAGATCCCATGTCCATGGAAGCTTTCGCCGCAGCTGCCGAACGAAACTCTCGCTTTCGACTGGTGATGCCTGACGACAATGGCGACGCGGCAGGGGTAGGGGCTGGGGCTGGGTCTGGAGCAGGGGCTGGGTCTGGAGCTGGAGCTGGAGCCGTGGCTGGAGAAAGGACCGAGGCTGCTGGGCCAACAGATGGTGCTGCTGTGGAAGCGGAAGGAAGCCCGGGTGGGCAGCCGGCGTGGGTTGCCACAGCCCGGAAGTTTGAGTTTTCCGTGGCGAGACCTGTCACTACTGCGGCGAGCTTTGGAGTCTGGGCATCATCGCCGCAGACAAAGGCGCCTCTGGCCGACTTTCTTACCCGTCGCGTGCCGATGAAGGCGCCCGAGTTGGGGCCGAGTGCGGCGTTGGCAGTGGAGGAGGTGGAGGGGGGTAAGGGAAAGGGAAAGGAGACGGACGAGGCCGATGGCGGCACTATCGGCCTCGGGCGCAACATCTCGTTGCAGTCGGTGCGGGCAGTGCATCATCCCAGTGACAGCAAGTCTTTGTTTGCGCCGGACAAACAGCCGGCGCGTCGTCGCACCCTCGCCCAGGTTCCAAGTCTCACCGACATTGTGTTGGGCGTGCTTGGCGACCGCCTCGCCAGCGGGTCACTGTCTGCGCGCGAAGCTGTGGCTGCTGGCCTCCCGCCCAAGCTCCTGGCCATGCTTTTTACCTTTTTGCAGAAGAACGGCGCGCTCTCTTGGGAGGCCATGCGGCTCTTCCTCAACCCCGAGGTTCTGCACCTTGATCTCTCGGCGCTTGTTGTCAGCCCCAAGATGGTCGACATCATGGCTGAGCAGTGCCCGCACGTGTGGCGGCTCACACTGCGCGCCACCCGGTTCTCGGACGGGACGCGGCTGCTTGCGCCGATCCAGAGCAGTGGCACGCTCGGCGTGCGTCTGGCGACGCACTTTCCACATGTCACAAACCTGCAGGTCACCGACTTTGTCTCGCTCTCGCACAAAGATCTCTTTGCCATGCTCGACCGCCTCGGCGCAGGGCTCGTCCACCTCGACGTCCGCAATTGCGTGGCACTGGCCGAACCGGACGACACCGCTTGGCCGGCCATGCCCAATCTTGTCACTCTGGACATCTCACACACTTGCATGACAACCAAGAGCCTGAAGTCGTTGCTGACTGCCGCGCCGCAGCTCGAGCGTCTTGATGCCCATCACGTCCGGTTCATCTCTCATTGGAGCCACGAGGGCGCGCCGCTCACCGCCGTCTTTGCCAGCCTGCCTGCGTCGACCACTGAGCTCGACGTCTCTTGGCCGCGGAAGTATCGAAACGAGAAGGGTTTAATGACGATGACCACTGCCCCGGTTCTGAACCATGTGCTGGATACGGCAGCACTGCATGCACTTGCGGCGGTGGCTCCGCAGCTCGTCTCACTCAACCTGACTGCCGTAACCATATGTGAGACTGACGGACGAAGCTGCGACGTGGACGCAACGCTTGCAGCGTTTACGGCGCTTCGCAAGGCCAAGGATCTTCGGATGCTGCGGATGTCGTCGATGATCCACAGGCCGCGTGGGCGGGCGGCGGGTGTTGTCGAGCTGGCGCTGGGCATACCTCGTGTGGCCACGGAAGCGACCGGGCAGGGCGACACTGCAGCGCCGGAGCAGGACTACACTGATATCGATCCTGCCTTGGGGGCCTACATTGCGTCTCGCAATCCACAGCCGCATGATGAGGCCACGTCGTGGCCGAGCCTCGAGTGCCTCGAGTTGAGAGGGTGGAGCGCGCCGGCCGGGGCGTGGGCGGCGCTGCGGCGGGCGATCGGGCCGCACGCTGACGGGGTGATGCACTTGACACTCTAGTCGACCTCCTCCAGCGAGTCGTCGGTGGCAACGAGTGGCGGACGGGTGAGTGGGAGCAGCGACTGGCGCGCCGGGTTGCGCATGACCAGGTCGTCATCGTAAAAGTCGAGCGGGGCGAGGCCCGAGTCGCGGATGCGGGGTTTGGCTGCACCGTAGGCCAGGGCGGAGCAAACGAGAGCAAGAGGCACGATGTATAGGATGGCGTCACGGTAGGAGCCGACCGAGTCGCGGAGGAGCGCAAAAGCCAGCGGGCCGATGGCCGAGCCTAGCACCATGACCGAGATGGAGATGGAGACGATGCCGCCGACGTGCTTGCGGCCGTAGTAGTTGGGCCAGACTACGTTGAACCCGATCTGCTCCAGGCCACCGGCAATGCCCCAGAGGACGGCGGCGACAACGGCGAGACCGACGGTAGACGCATAGGCCATGACGGTGAGGAACAGGGCCTGGGTCAGGTATGTGGCCGAGAGGATGTACCGGAGCGGAACCCGGTCGGCGAGGACGCCGGCGACAAGGGTCATGGGAAAGCCGACCGCGGCCTGCACCGAGAGCACCAGCGCCGCCTGGATGTCAGTCATGCCGCGGCGGGTGAGCATTGGGTGCAGGAAAAAGGTGATGGCGGTGTTGACAGCAGCACGTTGGGCGTTGCAGGCGAGTAGCAAGTAGAAGGTCCGGGTCTGCATGGCCTGGGCACGCGTCCACGAGATCTCAAAGCCGGGCGGGACGAGGTACTCGGGCTCGTCGTCGTCCGACTCGGAATCAGGCTCCTCACCCGGCCGGACCCGCAGCAGCGCAGCTGTGGCCTGGTCCGCCAGCGGCGGCGGAGTGCGGTTGTGGGAGAGGGTGGCGCCATCGGGGAGGAGGCCGATGTGCTCCGGCGCGTCGACAACGACAAAGAGCACGAGCGGGACAAAGGTAGCAAGGAGGATGAGGGCGAGGATGAACCAGGTCTTGCGCCAGCCGAGCCCGCTGATGAGCGCAGTTAGGACGACCGGAAAGACGGTCGAGCCGCCAAACGAGCCGATGTTGACGAGGGCAAAGGCCCGTCCGCGCTTCTCCACAAACCACTGCGGGAGCAGGGTCTTGGGCAGAAGGGTCATCGAGCCCTGGCCGAGGAAGCGCAGAAGGTAGAACGAAAGGAGCATGGTGACCTCACCCGAGAGCAGCGAGGCGTTGAAGACACAGACGAGGGCAAAGGCGACCGCAACCAGAAGCGACGCCCGCTTGACGCCCATGCGATCGACGACTCTGCCCATGATAGGCAGGGTAAAGCCCGAGGCGGCGGTGGCAATGGCATACAAAAGCGAGAGCCGCGCTGCAGAGAGGCCAAATGACTGGCCGTAGGCCGGAAGGAACTGCGAGACACCGTAGGTCTGGCCAGGGCCGGAGAGAAAGTACTGATAGCCGCAGACGAGCGCGATGAGCCATCCGTAGAACACCGATCGACAACACTGCGGTGGAGCGCTTCTCCCCGAGCGACCACTCAGCCGACCGCCAGTCAGGGCCGAGCCAGCAAGGGCACAGATCATGACAGCCGATGAGCATGTAGCCGAGAGCGGAGCCAGGAGACGAGCAGCAGGAGACCGACGAGTGGGCGATGAGTGACCAGCGGATGCAGGAGGTCGAGTTGGACCTGATTGCGAGGAGAGCGAGGAGATTGATCCCCCACGAGCAGTTGCAGACAAAGCAGTCTGCGACGATGCTGAGACCACTGACGACTGTCCTCCTCCTCCTGTTGCTGCTGCGGCTGCTGGTGCGGAGGAGGAGGAGGAGGGCGGGGAGGGCAAGGAGGAGGTGGGGGAGGGTGAGGAGGCTGAGGGAGGGCCTGGCTCGCGAGAGTGACGAGACTGCGGGAGGCGGGCGTAGCCGTGTTTGCGTCTTCCCATGGGTTGGTGGGGGTGGGGGTGGGGGGGGGGGGGAGGTGGGTGTGACGTCGAGCACGGAGGGC